GCGTTCAAAACACACGTTTTGGAGATATCAGTTTCGGAGTGGCACGAATGCTATGACAAATGGTTTCATCGAATGCAAAAGTGTATCGATCATCTCGGGGAATATTTTGAAAAACAATAAAACCATTTTCGACAAAAAACAACTGTGTTATATATGTTTTTAAAAAAAATTATGGAGCAACCCTCGTATGTGTGTTGCTAGAGTCGCCATGTGCGCGAATTCACTTTCTCTCTCTCTCTCCTCTCTCTCTGTCTGTCTGTCTCGTTCAGTTTTATTTGCTTGACCCAGTCGCTTTTACACTCTCACCGTACAAATGAGGAAGTTTAAATGAAAAATGCCACGCAAAACAAAGTTTTGATCGTCCTCAAGCATATTAATTCAATATTCCCCACGATTCAATTTTTATGAACAAAAAAAAAAGTTTCTTTCATCGCCACGAACAACGGCTGTAGAAAATATACCACGTCGTCGTTACCGTCGACGTTGTTGCCGCTCACTTGTAACAATGTAATTAATTTATGAGAGTAAGCATACATGACGAAAAATTAATTTCATTTTGTTCGTTCGCCTCATTATTTATTCAACTTCATTTCGTTCGCCTTTAGAAACAAATGAAAACAGACAGAAACTGATAAAACAAATTAGCCTACGTGATACGTCTGCAGACGTCGGCGGCCACAGCAAAAACATACTGATCCAAAAAAAGATATATAATAGACGAGGTATACTTATTTTGTCGTCAAACAACGGAAAAAAGAATGAAACAAATTTCTTTATTTCGATTTTGAATTTCCAAAAAAAAACATTTAACACAATATCATCAAATCAAATTCATAATTGAATTTCAACTCTTTCATTTTTGTCCTATTGTATCAATAAATGATTCACGCTCTTTCAAAGGGAAAAGTCACATTTATCCTCTGAATGGTTCTTATTTTCATTTGACTGTGAAAAAGCGTGCGAGTTGAACGTATGTATTTTCTCCGGGTGTATGGATTAAAAAAAAATATCAAATGCATTGTCAATAATCATAATAACCGTATTAAAATGGATCAAACCAATTGTTAGTATGAACTGAATGACCTGAATCAAACTAAGCACACATACCCACTCGTTACGTTCATTCGGTCGCATTTACAACAATCGATTGATGATGGCACACATGGCCGTTTGCTGCAAGCGGGCACACAATTTTAGCCCATTCGTTCGAACAAAACAACAGCAACAACTTCAAAATAGAAACTCTCCAAAGTCGAAAAGTAAACAGTAGAAAATGCAATAAACGAAAACGAAATCATTGAATTAAGTCCAGTGAACAATAAAGTTTTATCGAAAAGTCGTAGTTGATTTGACAATGTGTGCACGAGTTTTTTTTTTTCTTCTCTTCTTCTTCTTGTATTTCTTCCTCTTCTATTTCACATCAACTAACCCATCTAGAGTGCTTCATGTTGGGTTTGAAGAATACAGGGGGGAAAAAAATTGGCATCGAAAGAAAAATGTCCATAGTTCGTTGTGCATTCGTTCAAATATTTGAGTTTCAATCGTTTTTGATGTGCCATTTGACTGCTTTTTTTCTCTTTTTCTCTCTTTCCATCTCAATCTGTTCCGTTTTTGCTGTTCACAGTCATCATTACGGCAGGCCACAACACAATTTATTCGCAATGCACAAATTCCACTTTGATGTTATGTGCCAAATGCAGCATACAAAGGTTGCACCCGTATCAACAGCAGTAGCACAATCAAACAAACGAATTCGACAGCAATAACAATTGTAATGATATTATAGACCGAACAAAAATGCAATTGAACAACACCAAAGCAATTTTGTTTTGATCGTCTATTTCGCATAAAAATCAATACATGTATGTGTGTGTGAATGCATCAAAGTTACTACCAAACTGTTTTTTTTTTCGAATGGAATCGATTTTTATTGCTTCAAATCTAATTATTTGTACAACAACAACACAAATTTGATATAGAATGGAATACACAAATTAAATTGTCCATTGTAATTACATCTCTCTTGTTAATTATATTTAAAAATGAAAATTAATATCGGCGGCTTTCGATATCATAATATTTTTAATGCTGTCTGTTACTTTTTCCGAGCACTTGGCTATTTTCAATGAAATAATATTGATTAATAATGCATTCGCATGAATAAAAATAAAATAACAAGAAAACGACAGAGAGGGGTCAACGGCAACAGTATCAAATATCGCTTATTTTCCATTTTCTGTAATATTTAATGTAGCGGATGTGTCATAAATATCTCTAGACACATACATGGTCATGTGTCAATAGATCAAATTGTTGTATGGATCTCAATGCGCGCAATATTTACTTAAAGCATCTCTCTCGTTCCTTTCATTTTTCGCGTTCTTCATCTCTCTTTCTGTTCATCTCATTTTCTCCCCCTTCACTTCAATTTCCCTTCGCGTTATTCGGTAAGATGATCGTTAATCAAGAGTGAAAAAAAATGTATGATGCAAACAAGAAATATGAAACTCATATTAAGAGAGGCTAGGCTGTACACGAATTTGATGAATGGCGGTGGCGACAAATGAGCCAAGTCTAAAAGAAACTTATGGCATTAATTAATTGAATCAATATCGTATCAGGTTACCATTAAACATGTAGTTTTACACATGTGAAACATCTTCTTTTCTCTCTGTTAACTATCACCCATGACATCAATAATAATGTTCTTATGCAAAGCCGCTCTCTGATTTTGGATGTTTTTTTTTTCGATTTATGATACGAAAATTCAATCGAAAACCTTTACTAAATTCCATAATGAGTTCATAATCATATAATAAAGAAAATTTCATGGAAAATTCGTTGTGTGTTGATCTTTTCATAGCTGTATCCGATGGGCCATTTGTTTTGTTTATTTCAAGGATTAATATTTTGCTCTCTTTCTCCTTCTCTCTTGATGTTGCATCAATAGGAGTTCATGGTTTCATGTGCGTGACAGTTATTGTTCTGTCGTGTTCTATGTTCGCTCTCACAATTTTGAGAGAAAAAAATAATAATAAATAATTCCGATTCACTCGCACACCGTACAAAATATATGTTCAACGAATGCATCACCACTGTCAACATCAATTTATATGTAGTTAGGTCCCTATCTTAATGACCCATCAATGCGAACAATGACAGCTGAAATAAAGCCGAAAAATCAAAGAATTAATGCGCATCTCTGAGGGAGAACAGACACACACACACACAGAGAGAAAAACATAACAAAAAATTAATTTGTCCAACCGGAGAGTTTCATTGAGATCATAAGATTAATGACAAAATACTTTGATGCATCAGTTAAAATTACGCACATAAAATGCATCATCAACATACACAAATGTGATTCAATTTGTTCGCTTTTATTTACCACAAGACGTTTGAATATAGGAGAAAAAGAACGTTACGAAAGGCTCACCTTGCCATTCAAAAGCAATCATCATAAACTGTAATCAGAACGAAGAACAATGGAATAAAATGAAAATAAAAAATATTCGGGAAAATTAGGGTAAAGTTAAATAAACCGAATATATATATTTTAAAATGAATTTGGATGATTCGTCAAGAAGAAACCCCCGATTCCACTTGAGCATCTAATGTAATGAAATGTTTTTCAATATTTCATGGCATATTAGGCCGTCGATGGCACTCTATGTTCCATATTTTATTCACGTGTCTGAACTCGAGTAATGCGGTCACAGGACAAAAGAGAAATACACACACATGCACGGCGAAAGAGAGATGCGATGAGAAAATGAAAACGAAATCAGTATATGTGTGCATTTGGGGAATATTTATGAACTTATCGAATCGTAAAAAAATATTTTTTTTTTTTTCATTTTTCATCGCTCCCTTTCGGCAAAACCGACTCCAGCACATAGAGATATACAAGCTCAATGTATTAAGAATCTATTGCCTATTGCTTTTTTACGATTGTATTTTTTTTCTCTTTGACGAAAACATAGAAATGATATATACAGTATTTTGTTGTCATCGTTTTCAGGTCAATAAAAATGAAAAGAAGATGGGTCAATAATTTGTGCCGCTTCAAAGCGGTTTTGATGATAACCATATTTATTTTCTATTTTTTTTGGTTATTGTTGTTGTTGAATGTTTCAATGTATTTAGCATTTGTAGGACATTTTTCTCCCATCATTTGCTTTCACATGAATTGTTCAACGGCATTTGTATGGTTCGTCCGTCTGCCCTCTCTCTCTCTCGAACACATACAACCTTTGCATCTAATTTGACTGCTGACGATGGAATCAAAGAGTTTCGGTTGCATTTGGGCACCAATTCTAGCAAAGACATAAAACAGGGATCTGAAATGGGTTTTCGGTTACATAAGTTGAATATCAATCGATTAAGTTTTGAGTTGGAATCGATTGTATTTGACATTTGATTCGTTTCGATTTGTTCACTCAATCGTTCTTCCTTTTCTACCGCCTGATCGTCATCGACATGAAAAATCAGCTTGAAAAACCAACTCATTTTACGTATGGCTTATGACCGTTCCCATTTCAATGCAACGGGGGTCATAAAATGTGGTGAAAACTTATCACCAAAACCAATCGCTTTCATCCACTCTTTTCTTTAAGGCTTTAATATGTATGAGACTGAACACACCGGCAATAAACACAAAACAAAATCGTTTTCATATTTATTCGTTCGTTCTTTCTACATTTATTCGGTGTTATTGGTTCGACAGTCTCATCTATCAACCGTATGACTCTAGAAAGAGAATATTTGTGTACACACACACAGGGAAAGAGAGAAATAGAGAGCAGAAAACCTATGATTATGCTTTATAAGATTTATTGTATTACATGAATGATTTTCAGTGATTTTCGTTTTCTATTTTTACGTGAATTTATCCTAGAACATAAGCGCCCATCATCTGATTAATAAATCTATATCTAGATAAATATGTGATTTTCATATTCAATTTCTAAATTTTTTTTCTTCTTTTCTTATTACAGAGACTTGCAAGGCAACAATATCACGGTTATCTTTGAAATGGACTTTCAGCATCTATCGAAATTGCGCATTTTGTAAGTATCAAATAAGACACATTCCAACACACATCATCAAAATCCAAAAAGAATTTAACATCAAATCAAAACATCCACAGACGAATTGAATTCATTTCAGAAAGATATAAGCCATGCCGTTTCAAAATAAAAGAAATAATACAAAAGAATCACATTATTAAAAGTAATCATGTTACTGTTATGGTTAAAATGTTAAATCTTTTTCTCTCTTCATTTTATTTGATATTTGGATTAAGTTAAGTGAGCAATGTGAGCAGGTGTGCTCGCGATCGAGAAATTGATTTTACAAAAAAAATAGCGAAAAGAAAAATGAAAATGACAAAAGATCCAAAACATTAGCATTCCGTGCACTAATGTGGAAATTGCTTTCAAACAAAGCGAATGTGGATCATACACTCAAAAAAAATGAAGCAATAAATTACATCGCACCACAACCGCATATTAGCAATTCGATTTGCACTCTCGAACCAACCAACATTTTTTCACTCTTTCTCTCTGTTGTTTCTGTCTTCCGCCTTTTGTTATATTGAAATCCGATTATTTTGTGCAAACGACATACAAACATGGACATAAACAAAAATTTAAAATAGAGAGAAATTCATTGAAATGAAGCGAAAAACAGAAAAAAAAAAGAAATCATAAATTTTCAATACAAAAAAAAATTGGAGAGAGAGAGAAAAAAAATGAGATAGAAAAGTAATACGAAAAGAAACAGAAATAAACGATGATATTCGAATCGCCGTCTTCTTTATGTTTTGAAAATGATATTTTCTTTTGTCAGAATTATATCCACATTAAATTGAATTATGTTTTTTTGAATGTTACTCTTCGTTGTATTCGTCTTCTTTTACGGAAGACAATTTATTGGCATTCGCGCCTACTAGCATGCAGAGCAATCAAAGCAACAGCGTGCACAACATACAGACTCAGTGTGTCCCCACGATCGAACAATGAAAATGAGTGTGTTTCCGTTTCGACATTTCAACCTGTTCGCCACGTTGTTCAGCCAAAACACAGCGTTATTCTCTCAATGTGAATGCAAACCTTTGGCGTACATCTCTCTCTCTCTCTCTCTCTCTCTCTCTCTCTCTCTCTCTCTCTTGATAGTAGATGTGAAATGCCATCTCTTTCGAAACAAAAATTCCAAGTGAATTTAGAATTTCTTGAAGCAATGCATCATTATGTGTGTTTGTTTATTTCCCCCCCATTCATCGGCTATCATAGCTATTATCTGAAGAATTCATTCGTAATAATATCATGAATATTTTAGCGTTTTTCTTAAATTGTATATTCTTCCGTTATCGCATTTGTCATGTCTTCATCATCGTCTGCCGTCCAATTCATTATATTCTAAAATTTGGTTATTTTTGTTTTTTTTTTCTTTCTTCGTCGATGATTTTCCACATTTTCGAATTTGTAAAACTTACAATAACAACAACAACAAAAAATTGCGTCCATTTAAATGCACAGAAGACGAAAATTGAATAAATCATTCAAAACGATGCGAGTGGAATCGATTCAATTTAATGAATTTTAAATGATATGAGGATTGAGAAAGCAAAATTAGATGTATCGAATCGTAGCAACAATTAACACACATGTGACAAACGATGCATAGCGACGCAATGGCCCAATCTTGTGGTGGTCGAAAACGAAATGACAATTCGACCATAGAATAAATAAATAAATAAAACATTATTGAGAAATTAGAGAATTGATCGAATCAATTAAGGGCCTACGAACGACCAAATAATCCATTATGTGTTATGTCGCATGGATTAGACTTTTTGAAATTCATTTAAATACGGCTTAGTTCGATTTAAATGAGTCTCTCCAAATTGACGACGAAAAAAAAAATACACCGATTTTTGTGTATATTTTGAAAGTTTTACGATTGATGAAATTTTTATTTGTTTCATCTTGTCGAACGAAATGGTTACTGATTTATCTGAATAGGGTTTTAATTACTTTGATCAAGCATACAAATTAAATGGTCATTTCTCGAGTGAGCCAGAGGGCAAGAGTGCCAACAATTGGCTATATTTGTTCACATTGAACTTTGTTCTTGGTTCGTTTTCGGTTTGATTCGGTGATAACTGTTAATGTAACCCATTTGATTAGAACGTGCTCCGATCGAAGTATCGGCAGACACACAATATCCGGCCAACGGAAATAAGCAAGTCTTTGTTATTTGTGGTTTTGATTGGACACCATTTAAGCTGGCCAGTTTACCTTTTCAAAGAAATACAACGGTGCGCTCGATCAAATGCAGAAATGCTGACCATTCCATAATATACACAATTTGTATTTTATCATGGTTCCACCCTTCGTACATATTTAATGTTATCTATGCTAATTACATTATGAGCAGCAGCAACAACAACAAGGCAAAAGGAGATAGAGAGAGAGAGAGAGAGAAAATATTGATGTGTTGATATCAGTGAACATGACATGTTACAAATGTTTCACGTGTGTTTGTCGGTTGCCTAATAGCAGCAGGTTTTAACTAAAAGTACATTGTGACCGATGCGTTCAACTTAATGAAGACGTATATGTATGACCGAATGAATGAAGTGCGACGATAAACTTTTGCGATTGATGATATACTGAATAGAGAGAAAAAGTTTTTCAACTGTACCATCAACAGCAAATTTTTTGATTGGGGCAATTCTCAAATGTTTTTGATGTGTGGCTTTTTTTGTGTATCAATAAAATTCGCTTAGGTTCGATAAAGTAACAATAAAGTAATTCATCAAATTTCGGATGTAAACACGTTAGAATTTTGGTGTATGGGTATTCAAATTCTTAAAATTGATTTTATCAATGAATTGAGAGCGAACAAGTTACAAATCCAAATGAGTTTTGATACAATTTCTCTCCCACTCGTGGCTGTCACACGTGCAAAAGTATTCGATCACAATTTGTGTCTTTGCAAGCGCATTCCTTCTATTTCAATATGATGATGAATGGCCATCATGATTATTTATTGATTAAATTTTCAAGAATGTGAATGCAAACAGACCGAATTGAAGAGGAAAGAATGAGCGCCACGGTCAAATCATTTAGAAAATTTATTGCAGCTTGTCTCATAATTTCCGTTCGAATCATTGAATTAATCACATAGTTTGGTGCAGCAAATTCAGGCGATAAAATCAGGCGGGCGAGATAATACCTTAAATGTAATTTCGAGTGGTCGTTGATGTTCTATTTTTCGTCGTCGTCGTCGTCGTTGTTGTTGTTGTCTACATCATCGATTGCATGAAAACATAAATGGTTTGGTTGTACTCCGCATCGAAATGAATTTTTCGAAAAGCTAAAATACTCTACACACATGCAATTGAAATGCGTAAATAAATAATTTCGAATGTAATCAATTGGAAAAATACGTTGCTGTGGTACGTGTAATTCCATTGGTTCAGCCATTGCATGTTAACATTTAGTTTGAATACATCAGAATATGCACAAAATTGAATAAATCGAAATGGAAATTGCGAAAAATTCAACGCATTATCATTTGCTTTTCCGTCTCAACCTCCCCCCACACCCCACATGCATATCATGTTTGTTCTGAGTGAATCAATTATATCCCGATTCGAAGTATATGATAGACAGCAATGCTAGCATAAAATCCAATGCCATTAGTTTCAAACTAATTATCGTTTGGAGTTCGGGCTCCAAATTCTTCCACATCGTTGCCAAAAGTATATCGTTTCGATGTTTTTGTATGCTTGAAGAATGCATATATTAATGTTATCGCATTTCATGCCAGAGAGAAGAAGAAGAAAAAAAAAGATCCCAGACGGAAGCTGCACCACATTCAATACTCAATTAATTGCTATATAGATTTGTTTTTATATTTGTATATTTTATTTCGTACAAAGTTTTTCGTTTTCTTCATCCGTTTATGTTTCTGGGGGCTTTTATTCATTCGATAAAACACATTGCTCACTTCATTTGCCAAGCACCATAGATTCACACAACAGAAACAGAGAAAAAAACCCGTTAGACTCTGAGCAGCAGAAAAACGCCAAATGTCGAATCAATTAATTGACTGTAATTGATTGTAAAATTGAATAATATGTCTGCTTAATGTATCGGCAATCCCAAAAATGGGAACTACAACAAAATCAATTTTTGTGAATTAATTCAGCTATATAAATATTGCTTGTTGTTTTTACCAACATTTGGAAATGCACAGAGCACCACTACAACTAATGCCATTATTTTCCACTTGTATGGATTGTGAATTAAGAAGAAAAAGGTCAATTCACAACTTGCTCTTTCGGTGTGTCGTTTCATTTCAATTTCGAATTTTCTTTCTTCGCCTATAAAAAAAGCACTCTCAATGATGATATATATTCAAACTTAATTCGGATCAATTTGTTTTTTCTTCACTTCGAATATAGAAAGTTTTGACAAGAAATGGGCTGTACTGTTCCACAGAGTTTAAATTTAGTTATACAAAGTGTGAGGTTTAATCGAGGATATTTTTATTGGAATATCTCACGATTATCGCTTTTAAAACACAATACTCATTTATAAATTATTCTATCGATTTAATGACCCAAATTTCTATTTTTTTCCACATACGTCGAATAACCTGATGAAAAAAAAACACTCACCGGAAAAAAAACAGAACTTGACAAGAGAGAAGAGTAGATTTTCATGTGTTTTTGCATTATTAAATGCAATTTTATGCTTTAACCTTCCGAAAAAAGCACTCTACTGCAATTGGGTTTGTGTGTGAAAACTAAAATGAAAATACCAAAGACATGATTTGGCCAGAGGCATACATGAACTGATTGATATATGCATATACGTCACACGTGTTACTGTAAAATCGAATTTTCATCTCATCGCAAAATAACATGGATCGCAAAACCAAGAACCAAAACAAAAAACTAATTTGACGATAGAAAATTACAACGATTTAAATATAGTAATGCAGTTCGCGAATAAATTTGTGAAAATCTGAATAACACTATGTTGTGATTCCTTACGGCACAATATTTTCTTCTTCGCTTATTCTTATTGCTCCCTTTCTCTCTTTCGCTATCTTCACATTGTATTGTCAACATAAAAAAAATGCGCTTGTATCGCTTTCTTGCCAATAATTACATGGGAGTTTTGATTTTTACTTGCAGGCAATTGACTGACAACGAAATTCACACCATTGAAAAGGACGCCTTTCAAGATCTCATCTCGTTGGAACGACTGTAAGTATTCGATCGTATTTGGAGCTCTCTTTTTTTTTGTCTCTATGTTATTTAATTTTACACAATTTATTGGTGGCTGATGCGATGATTTTGAATCGGTGCCAGAATCACTTTGGAAATTCGATTAAACGAATTAGCATGACGCAAGAGACGAATGAAAAAGCACACGCACCAAAAATTGTCCACAGCTTTCTTAGTCTTCTTTAAATAAGTTTTTTAATTATCATTTTCGGTTTATTTTTTATTGCGAAAATTTTTTTTTTCTTCTCGCAAACACACTAAATTAATGTTTGAGAAAATTACTTTTTATTTTGTTTTGTAATTTGTGTGCGTAGTTTGTCATTTTTCTTCTTTTTTTTTGTGTGTGTAAGTGTATTCGGTTGACATTTTGCTCGATCAATAATAAAAAATCGCGCTGAAAAAAAAATAATTGAATGCGAACGAAATAAAATGGCGAAAACGATTTTTTGGCAACCACAAAAGATGTTTATCACTAAAGTTTGTTAATTTGATTTGTAAGAATATACACACGCCTCTCGTATTTTCTCGGCCAATTTGTGCTTGGCACTGATGCATGAAAAACATTCACAATTCACCGATGATAAACATCTTGCAAATGACAACCGAATTCACTATATTTTACATGATTTGGCATCAATCCGACCAAATTGAATTCCAAGAATAAAAGAAAAACTTTTTCACATTTAAAAAAATAATAATAATACTTATTTTAGGTAATCGACATTTTGCAATTAATTTATTTTTCTCTCTTTCTCTTTTTTTTTGATTTGCCGTGCATTTCTGCCGTTTGTTTGCATTGTTGATTGCACTTGAAATCTATAATTATGTCGTATAAATATCACAATTTTCTTTGCTGACTGAATTAAAATGCTATCTTTCGTTTGTGTTGCTGGGCCACTTTTTAAAGGCGTCTCAATAACAATCGCTTGAAGGCAATTCCAGATAATTTTCTCGCAAATTCAGCAAATCTATTGCGATTGTAAGTGTGTGTTGGTTTTTTAGTTTGGCATTTAAGTTTTGAAATAAATTTAGTTTTTGATTTAGATTTTATTAGTTAAGTAATTAATTGAATTGATTTTCGAGATATATTTTTTAAATTAAGATTCTAAAATCTATCATTGGTTTTTTTGCATTATCTTTTTAGTCTTAGGTTAAGTTTTCTGCACGATCGAAATTCGATAAGATGCATGCTTATCGAAGCGGTCTCCTTTTGCATGTGTTTTTTTTTTAATAAATTTTACCACGGTGATTAATTGGAAAATCTTTGTAAAATCAATTTAATTTAAAAGTCTTTTTTGAAAATTGATTTTATTTTTAATATATTAAAATAAAATTTGAATGAAAAATATCGAAAAACTATTATATTAACATCGAGAGTACTGAACTCAAATTCGTGCCTCTATTTAATATCGTATCAATGCTTTTAACAGGGATTTGTCGCATAATTCGATGCAAATAATCGGTCGAAAGACATTCAAAGGTGCCACATCATTACGAAGTTTGCAAGTCGATAACAATGAAATTACATGTTTGGACGAACAAGCCTTCCGAGGTTTAGGAGAATTGGAGATTTTGTAAGTATTTTATCATTAATCGAATGGAAAAGGAGAAAAGTGTCTATAAGATCGTTGTGCAAATGGATAATGAACCGAATACGATTTAAAATTCATTTATTATCTCGAACAAACAAGCTTATTTCTGCGATAATAAGTGACATCTGATTGACGTTTCATTTTCATTATCTGCTTAAGCTTGGACAGACCATTTTCATTTTACTTGTCATTGTCTCTATCGAAATGATTACAAAACAACTTGTATTCATTGAGAGAGAAAAATACGTTGCTTGGATCTTATTAGAAATCCAGTCAGAGTTTGATTCAATAGACAAATAAATTTGAATGAACTGTAAAAAGGGCTTATATGCAATAACAGTTAACATTATTGGACACCATTGAAATCTATAATTTATTCTTATCTCGTTCACAGGACTCTGAATAATAATAATATCACAGCGTTGCCACGTGAAATTTTCAGTGGAATGCCAAGAATTCGTGCGCTACGTTTATCGGATAATCCATTTACATGTGATTGTCATTTGTCGTGGTTGTCGCGATACTTGCGTAATTCACCGCGCTTGGCTCCATACACCCGATGCCATTCGCCTAGTCAATTGAAAGGGCAAAGTTTGGCCGAACTACACGAGCATGACTTCAAATGTTCAGGTAAGTGACAAAATATACACTATTCACTCCCTTATTATATGAAAATCATCACGGCGTTTTTTTTCTTCAAACAAATGTCAATTAACGTATAAATTTAATAAAAACACTCCAGATTGACAAACATTGATCTCAAGTCAATGAACCAATATGAAAAACAGTGACATTCTTTTCATTTGCGCTGAAAGGTCAATTGACAGAGAATTAATTTCAATGAATTGTGATGTGGATTTGATTATTGGATTCGATCATCACAGTGATTGTTAAAAGGTTCCGTTCAAAAAAATAAAATACCCATTACATGCATTGCAACTCGTTAAAAACTGATGAATGAGTGGTTTTTTTCTGATTTTAATTAAATTTTATGATGACAGCCGTTCGGCTGTAATAAAAAGCCCAATTTTGAAACAATGAACAAATGTTTATTGTGATGCATGAGTGTTTGATTTTCTGTGTATGCTCAAACTTATATTGACAATTGAAAAATAATTAATTTTCACAAATCAATTTTGTTCAATTTAGCGTAAATTTCATCTCTTGTTCGACGCATTCAATTCGATATTTAAGAACCATAGATGAATTTCTATAGGATGACATTAAGTTTAAAACATGGGCTTCGCGCAATGTTTTATTAAAAAATTTGACCATGAAGGGACGTTTTTTTTTTTTTTTGAAATATGTTTTTATTTGACAGGTTTAACAGAGAATGCACCATTGGAATGTGGTGCCACAAGCAGTTGCCCATATCCATGCCGTTGTGCCGATGGAATCGTCGATTGTCGTGAGAAAAGTCTAACAAGTGTACCATCCGAATTGCCGGAAGAAACAACTGAACTGTAAGTTCCATTCGAACAAATTTTTGTCCCTCTTCAAAAAAAAAAATCTTTAAATAATAATAATAAAAAAAATTTTTAATAAAAAAAATTGAAATCCTAAACTCAGATTCATAAGCACTTTTAATATGTTTGCATTTAAAATTGACCATTCTTGTTTTCTTTGTCATTTGTTTTCGTGTCAACAGACGTTTAGAACAGAATTTCATTACGGAAATTACACCAAAAGCGTTCGCCAATTTCAAACGTTTGCGACGCATCGATTTATCGAATAATAATATCTCACGAATTGCACACGATGCATTCAGTGGACTTAAATCGTTGACCACACTGTAAGTATAAGTGGTGTTTTTATTCTTTTTTACTATGTAGTCATCATCATTCGGAATCGAATTTTTCTGTGCTCAATCCATTTATTTTGGTGCATTTGAAACTTTTCTGAGCGCACAGAAAATCCAATCCGAATTTTGTGTATTTTTTTTTTTTTTTCATCTTTTGAGCATTAAAATAATTCTCTGTCCGTTTTTTTCGTTCTGCTTAAATTCATATGGTAAAATTTTTGTATTTGATTGTTGTTGTTTTCGATTTCTTCCAAACACAGCGTTTTATATGGTAATAAAATAAAAAATCTGCCAACAAACGTGTTCCGTGGATTAACATCCTTGCAATTGCTGTTGCTGAATGCAAACGAAATCTCATGCATTCGCAAAGATTCGTTCAAAGATTTAACCAGTTTGAGTTTATTGTCGTTGTACGATAATAATATTCAATCGCTCGCAAATGGAACATTCGATTCAATGAAGAGCATACAAACGCTGTAAGTACACTTTAACCAAATCTAGAATTTAAAAAAAATACAAGAGTTGAATAACGAAAAAAAAAAAAAAATAAATCTATAATCGTCGTTGCATAAAAGTGAGAGCATAATCTGCCCCATTGCAATATTTGCAATTATATTGAGCGTGCGCGCATTCGATTCGCATCCAAACCGTCGAAGACATTCATTTTTGTACATTTCGTTTCGATTGCATATCGCACGAATAAAAAGGATTGGATTTTGCCACGCAATGAATTTTAAAACGACTTATAGACACAAAGAGCGGCGAACATTTCGTTCAATATTTGACTTACCGTCGATTGCAAATCGTGCAAAAATGCGAATATAATCACAAAATAATTCTTTCGTTGTTTTTTACTTGTGCTGTTATTGCTGCCGCTGATGCTGCTGCTGCGCTTTAATGCAAATTGTTCAAAGTTTTTAATATTTGTCTGGCTGTTCGCTTTTCCATTTTTTTTTTTGAGAATGAAAGATAAAAAAGAAAAACTTCGTAGCCGTATGTCTTTTCACTTTTTTGCACACGATGGAGCGCATCGAGCGGATGGATCTTGACATCGATGCATTTCAACGAATACTTATATTTGTTATTATAATTGTGATAATAAATTCTTTTACCTTCGTTTCATTTTGCTCACCGTTTTTTTCTCTTTTTTTTCTTTTTCTTCTTTTTCTTCCTTGAACATGATTGCGCGTAGACACTTGGCACGGAATCCATTTATATGCGATTGTAATTTACGCTGGTTGGCTGATTATTTGCATAAAAATCCAATCGAAACAAGCGGAGCACGCTGCGATGCACCCAAACGTATGCACCGAAGACGCATCGAAGCATTGAGGGATGAAAAGTTCAAATGTAAGTTTTTTTTTGTCATTGCTTTTGTATGACATTATAACACAAATTGAATTCAAGCAATCAAATCATGACACATCGTTTCACTCCACAAATCGATCCATCGACCCAGAAATGGTACGATGATTTTAAATGTACTTTTCGAACAAATGCTGTGACAAGTGTGTGATTAACATTGATTCACTTTGTGCTTCGTTTTATTTCTGTTGAAAAATTCAAATGAGGGTTTATTCTTTATTTTGGCATGTTTTATTTTGCAGGTAACAATGATTATCGAACACGTGACGTATCTTGTCGTGTCGATACTGAATGCCCGGCTGCATGCCATTGCGAACGTACCACTGTTGATTGTTCGGCACGTGGTCTCAAGGAAATCCCACGGGATATACCACTTTACACGACCGAATTGTAAGTACCCGCACAAACACACACGTATATATATCACAGTTATCATATTCGAACAAAATTTACGAAAATTCCAAATTTCAATTTCATTGAATAAACATTTCATTTTCGTTGAATACCATTTTCAGATTATTGAATGATAATGAATTGGGCCGTATTAAATCGGATGGTTTGTTTGGTCGTTTGCCAAATTTGGTGAAATTGGATTTGCGTCGTAATCAAATTACCGGCATCGAACCCAATGCATTTGAAGGTGCATCGAAAATTCAAGATTTGCTCATTGCCGAAAATAAAATCACCGAAATTCATAATAAAATGTTCTTAGGACTGCACAATCTTAAATCATTGTAAGTAGAGAGGAAAAAAAAGGCGCCCAACAAAGATTGCAAATTCATTTTCAGGCTCGAAAAAGGAATTCCATTTAATATGCTATATGTTGTTCTCTTTCAAAACAGATCATTGTACGATAACAGCGTTTCATGCGTCATGCCCGGCTCCTTTGACTACTTATCATCGCTTCACACATTGTGAGTATAATATGCATTTCAATGAGAATTAATCTATTTTAAAGCGTCTTTCATTTCAATTTTGAATTGCGAAATGTACAACACAATATGCATTCAACATAATTGCATACAATGTCATTCGCAATCGTTCACAACACTACAATCTAATATGCATTATAATAATAAATTGACGGAAATACTAAATAATAAATGAATACATACATTTTATATAAATTTAGGAATCTCGCATCGAATCCATTCAATTGCAATTGTCATTTGGCATGGTTTTCGGATTGGTTACGTAAACGTGGATTCTCCGGAGCAAATTGTGCTGCACCGGCTAAAGTTCGTGATATTCCAATTCGTGATTTACCGCCGCATGAATTTAAATGCTTAAGCGATGCAGATGAAGGTTGTTTGGGCGAAGGTTATTGCCCACCATCATGTACATGCACCGGAACGGTTGTACGCTGCTCACGTAATAAATTGAAGGAAATTCCACGTGGCATTCCAGCCGAAACATCGGAATTATATTTGGAATCGAACGAAATTTCAATGATCCATCAAGATCGAATCAGCCATTTGAAATCATTGACCAGATTGTAAGTGTCTTTCTTTAAAAAACATAAACTTTCGAAAAATTAAAATTAAACACGAATTTATTCTCATTTGTAGGGACTTGAGCAATAATCAAATCTCCGTTTTATCAAATTACACATTCGGCAATTTAACGAAGCTTTCAACATTGTAAGTATCACATTAATTCACAAAAAAAAGAAAAGAAAAAAGAAATGTAAAAATGCTGAGCAAACGTTCTTAATTGAATTTTCCAGGATCATAAGTTACAATAAGTTGCAGTGTGTTCAACGATATGCTTTGACTGGTTTGAAATATTTGCGTGTATTATCGTTGCATGGTAATCAAATTTCGATGATACCAGAGGGAACATTTTCGGATTTGCAAGCCATCACCCACATTGCGCTTGGCAGCAATCCATTGTATTGTGATTGTTCGTTGCGTTGGTTATCGGATTGGGTGAAATTGGACTATGTTGAGCCTGGAATTGCACGATGCCAAGAGCCCGAATCGATGCGCGATAAATTGCTACTATCAACGCCATCAAATCAATTCCAATGCAAAACAAAAGTCAGCGATGAAATCTTATCGAAATGTGATGCTTGCTTTACATTCCCATGCCAAAATGAGGCCGTATGCCAAGCACAAGCTGAACGACAATATGAATGCGTTTGCAGACCAGGCTATCATGGTAAACATTGTGAATTCATGATTGATGCTTGCTACGGTAATCCATGCCGAAATGGCACTTGTACTGTACTTGAAGAGGGACGTTTCAGTTGCAACTGTGTGGCCGGTTACACTGGTTCACGATGCGAAATGAACATTGACGATTGCAGTGAAAACAAATGCGAAAACAACAGTACATGCATTGATGGCGTTGAATCGTATACGTGCCAATGTCCATCTGGATATTCTGGCCAATATTGCGAAACAAAAATACCATTCTGTACGGAATTCAATCCATGTAAAAATGGCGCCAAATGCATTGATCATTTTACACATTATACATGCGAGTGTGCACCGGGCTATCGTGGTGCCAATTGTACAGAGGACATCGACGATTGTCAAAATCATATGTGCCAAAATGGTAAGCATAACAAATTTTAACTTTTCGTCGTTTTTACTGAAATTTGTCGGCACTTTTATGCATTTCTTTTAGGTGGAATTTGTGTCGATGGAATCAATGATTATGTTTGCAAGTGTCCAGATGAATATACTGGTAAATTCTGCGAAGGAACACCACTGGTTGCCATGATGTATCCACAAACATCACCATGTCAACATCATGAATGTAAACATGGTGTATGCTTTGTACCGAATCCATTATCGTCGGAATACGTGTGCAAATGTGTACCGGGCTATTCGGGTAAACGTTGTGAATATTTGACAAGTATCAGTTTCGTGCAAAATAATTCATTCGTTGAAATGGAACCGCTTCGAACAAAACCAGAGGCAAATGTTACGATTATATTTAGTAGCTCACAACAGAATGGGGTAAGTTCTTATTTTTATTATTTAAATTTCAAATAACGTTCCATATTTCGATACCTTTACTTGACTAATTTGTTAAATCTTTATATGGATTTAAATCAGGTGCTATTATATGATGGTCAAAACGAGCACTTGGCAGTTGAACTCTTCAATGGAAGAGTCCGTGTCAGCTATGACGTTGGAAATCATCCAGTCTCAACAATGTATTCGTTTGAGGTACGTGTTCTATTGCTTTTTTTGCAAATTTTTTGTTATAAAAATGTTTTCCTTGTGTTTTTTTTGTAGATGGTGGCTGATGGAAAATATCACATGGTTGAATTGCTTGCGATTAAAAAGAACTTTACACTACGTGTTGATCGTGGATTGGCTCGGTCCATCATCAATGAGGGTAGCAAAGAGTATTTGAAATTGACAAAACCACTATTTCTGGGTGGTTTACCAGTCGAATCCGGTCAACAAGCGTATAAAAATTGGCACTTGCGCAATTTGACCAGTTTCAAAGGATGTATGAAGGAGGTTTGGATCAATCACAAACAAGTTGATTTTGGTAATGCGGCCAGACAACAGAAGGTAACACCGGGCTGTGCACTGCTCGATTCTGATTCCGAAAGCAATGAACAAGAAGAAATCGATGTTATGCAAGAGACCCAACATGTGCTCAGAGAAGAGGTTTGTTATTTAAAATGAAAAAAAAAAAATGCATAAAGAAATTGAGCAATTTTTAATTCCAATCGAATTGTCATCGACAGGTGGATCCATGCAGCGAGCACAAATGTCGTCGTGGTAGCATTTGCGTTGCAAATAGCAATGCAAAAGAAGGCTATTCATGTCGTTGTAAGATCGGAACGCGTGGAAAATATTGCGAGCAAGGTGAGGGATCCGCACCGAGCAATCCCATAACTGGTACATTTCATTCTTACTAATATACATTTCATTCATTGCGCGCAAAATAAAAATTGTGAAGAAAAAAAAATAACTCAAAAAGAAATAAACGTTGCTTTGGTGATGGTAGTTGCAAAAACGTTCATGCTCTGCTTGGCATTTCATTTCTGATTCTTTTCACAAATTATCAGCGAACAATGTGTTTTCAATTTCCTCTCAAATGATTCGGCTTGGAACTGAAAATAAGACACGATGAAAAGAACACGGAACGGAAATTGTTTTTCCGGTATATGAGCAGTCTTTTTGTGCATTGTGTACTTCGGTTCTAATTTAATCAAATGAGAGCATCAATTTATCAAAATAATAATGTTTTTCCAAGAAACAAAACAAAAAATGCTTTAATTTTTTTTTCTCCATTCAATTTCAGCAACTTCAACGTGTCGTAAAGAGCAGGTTCGCGAATATTATAGCGAAAATAATTGCCGTTCGCGTCAACCATTGAAATATGCAAAATGTGTTGGCGGATGCGGTAATCAATGTTGTACAGCGAATATAACACGTCGCCGAAAGGTTCGAATGGTTTGCAGTAATAATGCAAAATATGTTAAGACATTAAACATAGTACGTAAATGCAGTTGCAGTAAGAAATGCAACTGACTGCACGATGCGGCTACCCAAAATGAAAAGAGTGAGTCGAACACCGACTCGATCTCAGTGCGAAATGAACACAAACAAATAGAAGATACAGATACAGACAATGAAGAAGAAGAAGAAACAAACACTGATTCAATGAAACAACAACAAACAACATACAAAACAAATAGTTATACATATAATAGTTTTAGTAGTAGTGGTAACATAAACATCGATTATGAAACTGAATCGCAAACGAATGCCGATTCAAAAATGAAAACAATTAGTAATGGTAATGCTAATAACGAAGAGACAAGAAAACAATTCGAAAATGATGATAAAATAAAACCAATGGAAAGTACCATTGTCGAACACCATACAGAACCCATTGATCATATCGAAGTTGATCAATTGTATATGGATGATGGTGCGGCGACCGAAGAGAAAACTTCACCAAGTACCGAAGATTTTCATGATGATGATGATGAGGTGGCGAACGATGGTTCGATACAATTGGGAATGTTACGAAGTCGAACATTTTTCCCAGATGACGAAGATGATGACGATGATGATGATGATCGAAAGGGCGGCGATCGTGCCGAACATAGTGGCGCCGGTGGAATTGATAAATATGGCGATTATGAAAATGATAATGTGCAAAATCGTGGCACTGATCGACAATATAAACATAAAAATAGCTTTAGTTCATTAGATGACAAAGGGAAAGCACATGAAAACGATGATTTCGATCGACATCCATATCAATCGAGTAAAGCCGATTCAAAGGATGCGATTAAAATTATTTCCACACCATTGGGCAAAGTGTCAATAATTTATCAATCGAATACAAACAATAACAACAATAGCACCACTGCCAATAATAGCAATGATAGTAAAACGAAATTGTTTGATAATTCGAATCAAAATAGCATGAATAAATTTAAGAATTTCTTTAGTCACAATATAAACGCCGGCGCTAAACAGAATTCAACCAATTCGTATCGAATGAATAAAAATCAACATCATCGACACAATCATCATCAACATTATCATCAACAACAACAGGCGGCGTCGTCGTCGTCAACATCGTCGTTGCCAGTGGCAAACGGTGCTGACACCACATCAAAGAGTCGTCCAAACTCAATGAATGACAAAACGAAATTACTCCAAAAACAAATAACACCAGTATTGACGGCCGATGGTAAAGTAGCTCTACTTTATCGCGGTGCACAAGATACAAATAATCAACACAAAGTTGAAGTGGGCAAAAATCTAACCGATTTCACACAAAGTGTAAACAGTCAAGAAAGTGTTATTAATGGTAAAATGAATTACAATGTGGTTAGCGAAAGCGAACCAAAACTTCCCGATGGCATTCCGATTGAAACAGTTGTCGCAGCAGCAGCAAATGCAAATAATCAAACGGAAAAAATTGCGATAAAAAATACGGAAAAATTGGCAGTGATTGTAGCGGCTGAAACAACAACAACTACAACACGAACGAAACTTACAACATTTGCGCCCGTCGCAAATACCGAACGACCCGTTCTAAAACTCTTCAAATCGGACGAAAACACCAGCCGAAATACAAACGAAGAGGAAAATTCAATTTTACCAAATATAAATCGGCCACCGTCGGAAGTGTTGGGCATTAAAAAGAATCAATTTACACAATTCCGTATTACGGATATGATTGCAACCGCAACACCAACCCTAACAAGTCAAGATGTCACCGAAAAAACGCCACTTCTATACGGCAATGAGGTTCCAAAAGCTATCGATTCATTAAATAATGAACACGATCCACATGGACAAGATGGTTTCGGTTCATCGATTGATTATGATTATAATGCAAATCGAGAGAATGGCTATCATCATCATAATCCAAATCATATGGAAACACCGTCGGTTGATGTGCCAGCAAATCATGGTTTCGATGATTCAACCACAATATCCGAGCTATCAAAAGCTGAAGTTGTCAATTTGGCCATTATACCGGCATTTGAAGGTGATTTACATCGTTTCCATGAACAACAACAGAACGATGTGTCCAATGACAATAATCCATACTTTAATATGGAAGATGATGAAAATGGCAATGATGTGGCGGTGGCTGGTAAACAGCACAAGCATCGACATCATAAAATTAAAGATTTATCGGCCTTACATTGTGCGATGCAAGCATTGGTTGCAATTGCTGCGCTGGCCACCGTATTTGGTATGCTTGGCGCATATTTTAAGCAACGAATCTTGGATCAGCTAACTATAATGCATTGGTGAGAATTAATGGGTATTCGATTTTGGATTGCACTCAATAGACGGAGTGGCATGTTTGTTTAAATTGTTACAATACAAATATTGCAACATTTTAAACACGATCACAGGCGAAACGAACATTTTATCGAAACCGTTTCTTTTTGAGAAATTCACATAATCGAATTGATCACAAACGAAACATTCGACTAGATAATTTCGGTATTTGCATGATGATCGTAAATGAACATGCGAAATGCGACACTTTTTTCTCCACAATCAATGGCTCAATTCGTGTGTATTTGATTCGATGAAATTGAGTCATCTCGATTCGAAAATTTGCCAATGAATAGAATTGATACAGTCACTGGTTGTTGGGGGGGTGCCATTTCCGGAAAATCCAGTTACATGAATCGAGTACCCAGTCAAATAAACAATAAATCATAATTTATTTAAGATGTTTTAAAAATGCAAATTACTTGAACGTATATATTTAAAATTCATTTTAAATGTGCAAAACAAAAACAAATCCTATTCGAAATCTATGAAAACTACAAAAGAAAAACCACTCACCCAGATGCATAGTGGATGTGGGAAAAAGAAATTGAAATTATTATTAACTGCTAATTATGGAGCGAACAAAGTGTTTTCGACAAGTGCTGGCAAGAAACGAAAAACTGAACTCTCAACCGCCTACAAATTTTCGAATGAAATCTAAAGTAGCAGTACGAAAAAATGCCAATGGAATATATATGTATCGAATAAACTGCCTCAAATATATGTTATGCACACTCTCCTCCGAAAATAAATTAGTCAGAAAAGAAAGCCATACGATTACAAACAAGAACTAACCCCGAATTGACAAAATGTTTAAATAAATGTATAAATATATAGTTTGCGTTTCATACAAGAGGAAATTGACGTACTATAATAGAAAACGAAAGAAAGATTAGGAAAAAAATACCCGAACTGTGACCAAAAAAAAAAAAGAACAAACAATTATTGACCATATTAATCTATCTATATTTATGAAAGCAAAAAAAACCTATATGTGTTTGAAGATAAAACTATTATCGTAACTTCTAAAGTAACTAAAGAAAAACGAGACAAAAACTGATCATCATAAAACAAGAAGAAAAAACTATCGAACGAACGAATTGATTGCCACTTATCGTATTTACCAAAAAAAAACCATTACTACTAAAACTATTACGTACCAACTACTAACTTATTAATTATGACCAAATCAACCCAACTAAAAGAAGTGTCTTTTAGAATGTGACAAAGAAAATTCTCTTTAATTTTCCCGATTAGAAATCGAAAGACAAAAATTGAATCATTGTGTAATTACGTAGATAAACAAAACAAACAAACAAAATCACACTGAGATGGGTAGCCGCATGAGCCGATTTTTTTTAATTAAAAATATCAACTAAAAAAACCAACGTTTGTTTCCCCCAAAAAAGAAAAAACAATTGCATTCCGTGCAAAACAAACAACAACAAAGAAACGCAAACCATACAGCAAACGCTGAATTTACCGTGTTCTAAATTCCAATTGGTTAGCGAACAAAAACTAAACACTTTTTAACAAAGAAAAATGACAAGGCAAAAGAAAATGCATTTGTTTCGCCATTTTTAATATAGGATAGTATATTTTTTCTATTTTCGTTATATTTTATTCCACAATCCCAATCCTCCCCCCCCAAAAAAATCCAATTCACACAATTTTAGCATTGGAATAAATATATTATTTAATTGTATTGCGTTTAAGTTGTCAATATATTTGCCACACAGTCTACAAAATGAATCTATCAGCTCCTATGTGTTTATATTGGATTTAGTTTCATTTACTTTGGATCGAACATTTGTTCAAATTTATCCGACACACATGGACGTTTGGGCATTCATTTTGAAACCATCAGTCATATTCGGCGATTGTGACAAATGTTCATTCCAAAGTAAATATCCAATCGATTATATATGTATTTAAGAAAACAGAAGAAGAAAAAGAAAAACAATATGAAGTAATTTATTTTTAAAAAATAAAAAAAAAGTATCAAACGATCGAAATCTCTCATTGAAATGAGAAAAAGATAAGCATACCCGAAAAAGAAAAAAACATTAATTCCCATATAAATCAAAATCAGCAAACGGTTCTCATTTCCGAAATGAAGCATAAACCCTGACAAACAAAAAATAGTTATGAATATTCACACACACACACACAAAAAAACACGTCGCTAGCATTTTATTTAAACGAATTTAGTTTACGGGTTCCAATCATCGTCAACAACATCATCATAAAGAAAGTATACTGCAAATAAATATTAGTGTTCCGTAATCTGCATCAGTAAAAATAAGCGATATCAACATCGGATAATCCTCGGTTAGATAAAATACACACAATCTATAATCACTTCACTTTACATACAAAAACAACAACAACAAAAACAAAAATCAACCTTTTTATTGTACTTCTGCAAAAAAACAATATTCATTTTAACACATTGCAACAAACTACAAAAATAGGATAACTAAACACATTATTTTAATGGATTTTATTGATGTTTTCTTTTGTACTCTGTTTCACATTCATTTTCGATTTGCTTTTCGAGAGCTTGCAACTATTTGCAACATTTTCGATTTCATGGAATTTTTCATTTAAAACTTTTTTTTCGTTCCATCTTTTTTTTCCTTTCGACAATAGATAATATTACTAATTTATTTATATACACAATGTAAAATTGGAATTTATGCAACTAAAAATATAAAGATTTTATATTAGATGTAAACAAAGAAAAAAAACAAATTCGAATTAAAATAAATAAAATTTACAAACAACAAAAAAGCCGGATTTTGTTTCGTCGATAAAATTGATTTTTTTGTTTCAACTAGATTCCTTGAATTTCTATCAACAAAGTCCAATTGAAGAAAAAAGAGACATTCAAATTTGGAAAAATCTAGAAAGGTTTGTAAAACTCTTAATTATAGGAAAAGTCTATCATCCCACTTTATTTTTCGACTGCGTCCATGTACGTCTAGAGGTAACTTTCAAAAAAAAAAAATCACATATGCTGACAAAATTAAACCCGAATCCATCGTCATTAAGTCTTATGATAATTTTGTGTGTATTAAAACACATTTCTATGAGTTTAATATTGTTTTTATTGATGTAATTTTTTGTTACATTCAAATTGTTTAAATCAAAAAAAAAATATTGTTCAAATATTGTGAAATAAATCAATATTGAAGAAAGTAGAATTATTTTTCACCTTTTGGAATTTTGAGTGGTGGAAATTTTCCGAATTGAATGGTTTTTTCATATTTTGCAGCTTCGACGACACTGCTGCTAAGAATAAATTTTGACCACATAGTTCGAGAATCATTATAAAAACTTAGTGTTCTTTGAAGTTGATCAAGTCTCGTTTCGAATCCTGTTTGGTATTTTCTATATTCCTCCATTTTTTCAATGACTTTCTTTACAAGTTCCTTTTGCTCTTTGGCTTTGGTAGAAATAAGAAGTTTGTCATATAATTCTCCAGCGGCAGTAATAACTTTATCAATTTTTTTTCTCAAGATAACTGTTGAATTTACATAAAAATTGAATTCATAATCATAATTTGCGAATGGTGGAAGCATACTCGGCACGATTTTTGCAATATTTTCGATATGCGCTTTTTCAACATTTTTTTGCCATCGTTGGAACCATTCATCATATTCAGCAGCGGGCAGCTTATGTTGAATTTGTGCGGAAATTGTCAAAACATGTTGTCCAATCTTTGTATTTTCAGCATCAATTTGTTCGAGAAGTGTTTGGTATGTGACAGTTTTTGTCTTAAAACTGTTGGGGATTCTTCTTGAAACCTCTTGTTTTTTGGCAGCGGTGATGAATATGGGCATTGGTTTGTTGAGTGTGGTCATAGCTTTATTGATGTCGTTGGTTACTTTGACGAGGAAATTCAGTTTTGGCATCTTAACTTTATATCCTGATGCTTTTTGGTTCAACGCATCTATTAAAGTCGAGAATTCTACATCGCCATTGACACTGATTACCTTAATAAAGGAAAAGTAGAATTAAAACAAGGATTAGAGTCTTCAACTGCTGATTTTCAATTGAATTTCGAATCAAAAATAAATTTTAAATAAGACAACACGTGGAAATATGTATAATCATTCGCAAAAACCTAGCAAATTTGATTTTTATTTTTTAAATTCTATCAAAACATTTACGAAAATTGTGAAAACGATTTCAAGGCTTGATACCTTGCCCTTATTGTAGCCTTTCTTTTTATTTGCTTAAAATAATAATTCATACCTGAGCGAACAGAGCCACTGCCAATAGTGTCAGAAATAAAAAGGATTTCATTGTTCTTCACTTAAGTCTTATACTTCAAGTTTACAATTGAATTGAAAATTAGTTGGTAACAAAACTCTTTAAATACCCAATTTTTTGAAACCAAACTTTTGAAAAATGTGATCGCATTTTTGTCTCAGATGCGTGGATAAAGTCATACACGAACCTTTCCATCACAATTTCCGAGAGGAATTTCACGAATAAATAAAGTTTCAGAGTTTATTGACACAGAAATAAAATTGAGGTTGTTTCTAGCCACGTAAATGTTCTAGCAAAAGAGAACAAAAAATTGAACGCGTGTTAAGCGCTTTAAAATCCATGATAGTAAAATAACGAATTAAGCCACGGGATTAAGCCAAGTGGATACAATATTTTTTATGGAGATATTTTCGATGGACTTAAATCTATGGGCAGCGAACTTTTCTCTATTCTTCTCAAGACATATTCCATTATACAACTTCTACTTTCTTTCATTAAATTCAACATAAAAAAGCCAAAATACGTTTTGTACTTGGCCTAAAAGGCTGTTAAATGTATTAGTTTACAAGCCACATTTTTTAATAAAGAATAAAGAAAGATCCATTTCGAACAGCTAATTAAAGGCACTATAGAAGAAAATGGAAAAAAATTATTACAAAATACATTTGATAATTAACACGTAGAAATCTTCTATCATTATTTCATCATTTTTGGTGTAAATACACATTTGCAACAGCTGTATTCATTGGAAAAGAAATTTTTTAAATTTTTTTATGTCGGTGCGGATAATAATTAAGTTTTTCTGCGTCACTGTGAACTATATGAGAAGCCCACCCCAGAATAAAATTAAAATAGCAAAATATCTGTATGAAAGACGACCTTTTTTGTTAATAAATCTTCAGTCTATCAAAAATGTTCAAAAAGGAGAAACGTTGTAAATACAAACTATAAAACTTTCGGAATTGATTTCAAACTTTTTTAAAGCTTCTTTTACTTTAAATTATTGTAAATCGACCCATTTAAACATTTCATTACAGCAAATTGCTGCCAGCAATTTTAATCATTTTACAAATATGTTCCATGAAGAGTGTCCGAACGTTAAATTGAATTAAAAGTTCGGATAATTCGACTTCGACGAACCAATCTCTTCACCGAAAACGGTAGGTCTACACTGTGAAAAATCTCCCCCCGAAACTCCGAAGAGCCAAAAATGTCCTCGATTTTGAGTGAGAATTGTCCTCGAAACCCCCCACCCCCCAAAAAAATTTCTAGTTACGCTACTGCACGTGATATTTCAAAATTAAACTGTGAAGAAGCTTTTCATGTATATCACTATATTTAAAAAAAAATGTTTCTGGGATTCAAATGAAAATTTATTTGTCCTTTCTTATAAATAAAAATAGGTCAATAAAAATCACTCAAAAGAAAATATTCATATTTTAATATTTAATGTTGACCATCAACGTGAAAAGCAATGGGTGGTTATTCACCTTTTGAGCTCTTCAACCAGCAAATATTTGTGTGAATATCGATGCAAATTCTCTGGATCATTTCCATTGAAGCATTTGGGGTTTCTCTGTAATAATGTATACATTAGATTCAATACTGCATATTAAAGGGCAAATCTGCAATTTATCTGCATTTTCTTCTAATTCAGCAACATCACTAAAACATTAATTTTTGATGTTATAAATTTCAACTTGAAAATTTAAAGATTTATTTTATACAACGCTTAGTTACTTTGCAAGCCAGTCCGATAGATATCCATTTTGCTGATCTGAAGTGTAAACAATTTAGAAGTACCGAAATGTGCTGTTTACAATTGATAAAATATGATCAAGACCACTGAAAAAAGTCAATTACATTTTTATGGGTATACATAAAATGCTCAGTTATTTTTTATTTTGCTCAGGTAAATATATTGAACATATATGGTTTGCGACAACAATACCACAGCATCTGTAAACGATAAAAACATATAGATTTACATTAACACTCTGAAGCCACCAAGATAGATTCCATTTCTGTATCAACTCGTCCTGCAGATCATACGTACCTTTTCATCCATACGTCGCTTTTATATTCTGCTGCAGCTTTTTCACATTTTCAGGGTTAATATTCGCATTGATGATGCGAACTTGTTGACTTAGGGAGTACATTGGAAGTAATGAGGACAAAGATGTTGGCATTGGAACAGTTTTTAAATGGCCGCCCAAATTGATTTGAAATTTTTTTAACGACTTTCTTGAAAATAAATTTGAAAAAATAGCTCTCACTCGATTGTTTGTCACTTGCAAAAATATTACCCATTTTTGAGCCCTTGCTAAGGAAATATGTTTGTTAGAATACTTATATATATTGGAAGGGTTCAAGTTTCATTTATTATGAATATAATTACCACAATCAAAATAACAATTGTCAAAGTCAAAACAAAATTCATTTTTTTTTTTGTTTTTGATGAACTTTAATTCAAACTCTTTTTCTAAGTCCAAATACAAGTTTCAAACAAGAAAATGAAAATGTTGAATATTAAATTGATTGCTTTAACACTTGTTTCATATAATACATTTAAAATATTTGATTTAATAAATGTTTTTCACATTAAGTGTGTTAATTATTCTAAATTCTGAATAAAAACATGTAGATGTATTTAACGAGTATACAGCAATAAGTTCTTGTCCCGATTTGAGATCTGATGACAACCGCTGTTACAAGTCATTATTAAATAAAATAAAAGAAGGAAATTACCGCAATTTTCAAATTATCATTTAATTTAATGAATTCATTTTAATTAATTTTACCGGACATTCACAAAGAGATACATCAATACACAACATCGAATGGTGCTTGCATCATTTGATGCGCATTGCTAGTGCTGTGTCGCCGAACGCACAACGACAGCACTAGCAATGTGAATCAAATGATGCAAGCACCATTCGATGTTGTGTATTGATGTATCTCTTCATGAATGCTTGAATTTTACACTTTTGAAATTAAGTGTACAATAGGTGTGCAAGCATATTTTGGCAAAAAAAAATCTTTACTAAACGATTTTATTCATCATGAAGTAAATGAAGAATCTAGGTAAGATAGAAATTGCGAAAAGTATTTGGTTATGTTTCTGTGTTCTTCAAATGTTACATTTAAACTTGGCCGTGGAAAATGACTGGTGGATGTTTGCCCTTCGAACCTTTCATCGAGGAAATATTTGTGTGAATATCAATGCAAACTCTCTGAATCATTTTCTTTGTGCTGTCGGGAGTTTCACTGTAATAATTTGTTAATTTTAATAAATTTTTCCTAGTATAATGATTGAAAATAAAGAAAACAATGTCTTACATATCATCATAAAGGTCATACAATTTATCTGCAAATTCTTCTAATTGATTGAAATCACCAAAATATGAAAACAGAGTCCATAAATATATGATAAATATCATGTGCTTTTCCAGAAATCCATCTTCATATCCATTTTCACGGTCAGAATTAAAATCGATTTAAAATATGCTGAATATGCTATTTACAATAATTAAAATGAAAAGGTATATAAGTAGGAATCTGAACAATTCCGACAAGAAATAAAGAGTATTACTTATTTTGAGGATCGGGTGCCATTTTTTAACTGAATGAACTTTTCCACTTAAACTGTACATTGATAGAACTGAGAATAGAAATGAAGATGATTTTGGAACTGTTATCAAAGTCTTCTTATCTAAGAAATGGAAATTTACTTTTAAATATAAAAGGTTTTCTTGAAATTAAACATTATTTTACTTGGTTTTTTATTAGCCGAAGGACCACTGCCCATAGCTAAAGCCTTCTGCCATGGGTAGAATTAGGTATTTTCATTAAATGAATTCGAACCATTTGACTCTAAATCTTATAAAACATTTTTTTTTAAGATTATATTCTTAGAGAAAATTATATTCATATCTATTTTCGTTTCGAAGATGTTCCATAAGTGCCACATCCAGACAATATATTTGGATTTTGTCATCTGGATATTTCAGCTCATCTGGATGACGTCAGGCGATGATACGGAGTGAAAACAATAGAAATGATTGTTATAGTTATAGTAGTATACCTATAACAATCACTTCTATTGTTGTCGCTCTATTTCAACGCCTGAAATCAGCCAGATGAGCTGAAATATCCAAAGATATTGTTTGGCATGTTGTTTAGCCACACACACACACACACATAGTGATGAAATGCGGTATATTAATTCAATTTTGGTAGATCAATTAACAACGAATTTGAGTTACCATTTTTGAGTTTTATGAGGCATGTGTTTCAGAAGATTCTATTTGCTGAATAAATTTTACCAACTGCTTCATTACATTCACCAAATTCATCTATTTTGAAGAAAATGCCCTAGAACATGCCTCATAGATCTCAAAAGTGGTAAATCTAAATCATTGTTGGTTTAATTTAATTAAAAATACCACTTTTTTTCTCTCTGTGCATCTATTACCAGCTAACATCTGTTGGTTTTTTGTTCACTTACCAAACTCAAAACAACAAAGCTCAAAATAACGAGTATATTCATTTTATTTGATGTGAACACTTTCCATTTCTAACACAATATAAATCGTTTCTTCGCATTTTTTTTTGTTAGAGCTGTTAGTTTAATCAACCATAATTTAATATCGTTCGATATATCATTAAGTATCGTTCGATATAATTTTTCGAAATACGTAATGAATTCCATGCATTCAAAGCTATATGTTTCGATTACTTCTCTTCAATTTAGTGTGCTAAATACTGTAAAAACAAATTTTTTCTTCGTTTTATAACTGAGCAGTTTTCCAATTCAAATAATCTACATTCCTTTTTAATTTACATGTGAATATGCATTTAATTACAACCTAAATTGTGTGTGAACAAAAAAAACAAGTTGCCAACAAAAATGTACAACGAAATAAAATCCTTTATAAAAGATCTATTCGTCCTAATATTTTATCATCTCTTCAAATAACAACTGAACACAATTGGTCTAGGCAGCCGATGCAGCCTGTTAATTAGAAAAAAATAAATAAACAATTAAATGAAGTCTTAAGTTACTCTTCTGGTGGTTATTTACCATTGGAGGTTTAAGCGTATATCCCTTCAAATAGCACATATTCGTGTGGAGATCAACGCAAACTTTTTCAATCACTCGTTTTGTATCGAGAAGAGTTGACCTATAAATTGTAAATAATTAGACATTTTCAAGTGATGATTGAGAAAATTATCTTGCATTTTGTCATGTTCGGCTTTGAGTTGGACTGCTGCTGTGTCAAACAATTTTACAGCACTGAAAACAATAAAATATATATTTCGTGAATGTATTGTTAATTTAAAAAAATACTCACGCTTTATATTGTGAATTGGAATATACATAATCGGGTGCTATTTTATGTCCTAAAACAAATCCCTTAAACACATCATTCAATGGTCCAAGAATATCATACAAAGCACTGTAAAGAATTAAATTGATTATTATTAAAGTCTTCATTTGCGAAGATCTTACTGATTTGTTACAATTGTTCCTGATGAGCAGCAAAATTGTCTGCAATTGATCTCACTGATTTTGAATAGTCGGAGCCTTTCATTCCACAGCATCTATACGAAACGAAATTATTATTTGGTTTGTTTCACAAAATTTATTCATACATACTTTTCCAGCCAAAGTGAGCCCTTAATAACTCTACGTGCTCCTGCATAGGCCTGTGCTTGAGGAAAACCCTTATTGTTCAGCATGAACACTTTTTCTCCTCCACTTAATGTATCCAAATTTGGTAATAGCTTTTTTGGATCTTCGGCCAATATGTCAGAGTCAGAAACTAGAACACAACAAATCCATATTTTTATAAAGCCAATAATCTATTCAGTCATTTTCATTATAAGCGCTAGTTTCTATAATGGAAGCTGATTAAGAAATATTTGTAGGATGCAACTCATAACGAAAATGAAAAAAATGGTTCAATGACATACGTAATAGTGAACTGCTTGCAATGCCACCCATAGCAGGAGTCTATATAAGGAAAAAACATTGGAAAATCCAATCAAATTGATCTTTTTGAATGAACACTCAAATTCATGTTGAAATTTTGATTTTCATTTTTTATTCAAAAAATGGTTTTAAAAAAATAGAAAAGGAAACGCTTACCAAAGCCACAGCGAAAACGCACGTAATCAGAAATAAATTCATATTTTTCACCAGGTACCTAGATATCAGTAAAGAATATCTCACAACTCTTTGAATTATAGTCGTTTCTAGTTGATTGTAGAACTACAATTTATACTTGTTTTCGCTTGCGGTAATTAGATAGCTTGTTGGCTCATATATGTAAATATTATTATGAATTATCAATTAAATTCCAATTTGATATGGTTCGATTTTTGTTATCGGTTGGTGACACAGTTGGAATGCATATATAATTTTGTATCTTATTGATTTGAAACATGTTTTTTTGGTTTGAAGAACAGGGTAAGGTGTATTCAAAATATTTAACAGATATTTCGTTATCGTTTATTTACAAAAAAAAATAGAAAAAAACTACCAATATAAATATTATAACATGATGATATCTTTTCTGGTACCAAAGTGTATACGAATTATAACACAAAAAATTCTATTGACGTTTTGCTGTGTAATGACCTATATAGTGATCTTCGAGCTACATTTAATATAATACATTTCGTGCGGTTGTTACTACGTACATGGAGGCTGGTTTTTTTATCGAGTTACAAAAACTCAACGACCACACGCAATTCTCATGAAAAATTCAATTCTATGTATATTGGATTATAATTTGATTAATTTTAAATAAATTCATGTGTATAGTACAGTAATGCGAAGAGGAGGGAAAGAGGGTGTGACTTCAAAATTCTTTCGATTTGCTAGGGATTTTCGTCCGAAACGAAATTTTTCTCGATTTCCTAGGGTTCCCCCTGGAAAATTTTGCTCGCACATTACTGACCTAGTATATAGAACAAAAAATGTTCAAAATATTTCTGATCCAAAACTATAAACAGAAATTTACAGGATTTTTGGAGGAAAACGATCCGGTTTACGCGACGGTTACGCTACTTTTACGCGAAGTTTCCGCGACAAAATATTGATGTAAACTTAACCTACACTTAACTATAAGTCTGTACACTTTCATAAAATCATCCATAGGACAAGTATAGTTGTCAGACATTGAATGGCGCTGTATCTATCCTATAAACATCGAACTAATGAAAATGTGTGGTGGTTCATGTCTTATTTAATATACAATAACAAACCATTTCTTCTAGTTCCTCTTACATTAGTGTAGGGGGATTCTTCTAAAGTTCGGAGAATGACGTTTGCATATAAATACATATAAAAGACACTTTTAGGCTCGTCCTATGAAATCATCCTACACTTAATTTTAAAATGTCAGTATAGGCCAAATCACTTAATTTCTTAGCTATATTGTATATGAATGCAAAATTGTTACCTACACTTAATGTACACTTTTTTAAGACCATAATAAGTTACATAAAATGTTGGATTTAGAAAATCGCTACCCCGGGCAAAATTTGAGGACCCCCCAAAAAGAGGTCGACTTTTTGAGAAATTCACAGCCTGTTTATTGCATATAGCACAATGATGATTATGAATCAACTCAATGTTTTTCATGTCAATTCAAACTTTATTCTCTCTTTCTTTCATTTCATTGCTGACGTTGTATATGACTGAAACTACACACAAATCCAGGTCCAAATTCGACCTGTACCTAATATTGATGATTTGACGTAAAAATGTGTTTCTTGGGAAGTAAAAAAAGCAAAATTGAAAAAGAAATAAATGTGTCTTCAATTTGTTTGTTTGAATGTCAGAATCATTTTGCATATTTTTAAATTTATTTCGTGGCTTCAAAACTTGTTTAAGTGATTCATGTGTTTACAGAAGTATGATAGGTATTTGAAGTCAAAGTGCAGGTTAAATTCAAATTAAGTTTTGGTACATTGTGATTGTGGTTAATTTTTAACGAACCAAAACACAGCCAATTCGTCCTTCATATAATGTGGTGATATTTTTAAAATTAATGAGATGATGATAAATTGCCTTTTTGTGCGTCGTTCTATTTTGTTTATATTATACATTGATTATTATTAAATTCATATTTTTGTACTACACAACTTGTATGTATCGATGAGTATAAATACATCAATATAATATTGGGATTAGTTTAGTAAGATTGAATATCTCGGTAAAGATAAGTGGTTCTCAAAATACAAACGATGTCTATATACATTTTTGTTGCTTTTTTTGTAAAATACTTCATTTTAAATCACTTTGATATTGCAAGTGCAGATTTATCTACAAACAGTTTGTTATCAAAACAAGTTGGTTTAGCAACATTGTTTCCAACCAATAATAATGGCTTGAAATTGAATCCATCTGTTGAGCAATTATGTGATATGACTACAGTAAGTTTTCGAATCTTAAGTTCTTAAAATAGGAACTATAGTGACAACTGTTATTATATACAATAAGGACCAACTGATTAAATATTATGGATACGAAGTTGATTCGTATAATGTAACAACAGAGGATGGCTACATCTTAACAATATTCCGCTGTTATTCGAGTAAATTTCCAATGGACGAATTGGAACCAATAATATTACAGCATGGAATGATAAGTACATCGGACGTATTTTGTATGAATCCAGGCGTACAATCGTTGGGTAAGTATTCAAATGAGATAAAATCGTAAATAGATGTGTATCTACCTGAGCGACTTTTTCAGCATATTTCTTTGCATCGAAAAAGTATATTGTTTACATGCCAAATTCGCGTGGAAATCGGTACTCACGTACCCATCAAACACTGGATCCAAACCAAAATCCTGGAAAATTTTGGAATTTTTCATGGACCGAGATGGGAGTGTTTGATTTGCCAGCCGTTATTGACTCAGTGATAGAAAAATCAAAAAGAAGCCAAATACCGTGCATTGGACACTCACAGGGTACACATTTTTATTTTACTAAATATTCCTGCGGACATCAAGCACTCAATTCTTTTGTTTTTTTCTTAAGGTGCAACAATGTTCTTGGTTCTTCTTTCGATGCGTCCTGAATACAATTCAAAGATCAAGCACGTTGGATTGATGGCACCATTCTCATACGTGTCAAATACGGGCTTTCCGCTAAATATGATTTTGAAATTTTTTCAAACGATAGTGCCCTACACAGATTGGGAATTCTGGCCGAACACTGTACAACAACGAATATTAGCGAAGGCAATGTGTCAAATGAACAATGGTTTGTTTTGTAATCAATTTATCAATATGTTTCATGGTACCAGTATTGATCAAAGAAACGATGTAAGTGTTTTTGTATTTAAAATTTTGCGAATCAATCAAACATTCCAATGCCAAACTTAATTTATTTTAGACAATGTTACCTGTATATTTATGCCATTATCCATCGAGCTGTTCGGCAAATCAATTGATTCACTTCGGACAAGAAATGGAGTTGAATTATTTTGGGCCAATGATGCATTCTATCGGTAGCAAAACACCAAAAGAGTTTCCAATCGACAAAGTTACCGCCCCAATATCAATTCATTACTCGACAGCAGATCCACACACCCACTCACTGGACATTAAAAAATTACAGTTGAATCTGCCAAATGTAGTTGATGTACAAGAAATTAAAGGATTCAATCACTTAGACTTTTTGTGGGGTATTCATACGCATGAAATTGTTTACTCTAGAATTTATCAGCTTTTAAAAAATCACACAACTTGAATAAATACACAATTTTTCCACATATGATTCCTGTTTACTTTAAATACATCTAATTTTCGATAAAATAATAAAGAGAGGGGAAAATCATGTCCATTCATAACAGCAGTTTATTATAAAATCATTGAGTTTCAAAATGTTCAAATTAAATTAATTTTTAATAAAAAATGAACTCTCTATTGAATTGATTTCTAGTTGTTATTTACTCTTTTCAATTGAATTATTAATATATTTGAAATGTGTTTTTGTGGATAAATGGAGTTTTTTCTTATTGAGATTGTAGATGGCGCTTGTACATGTCTTTTGCACTACTACAATCGAACAGACAGAGTATGTGACACTTCTCTTACTTACAGTGACAAACGCATCGTAAACGTTCTGTATTAAACTTTTGTCAAACTTACATGAATGAATTCTCGTGTGTATTATTATATCTTCTTTTAAAAAAAAGTCAATTTTTTAGAAATAAATAATAATGGCAAATATATCCGCTGCTGCTTTGGCGAATAGAAATAAAAAACATTTTCTCGGTGTGCCAGCACCGTTGGGATATGTAGCCGGTGTTGGTAGAGGGTAAGAATGTTGATTTTATTTTACATTCATTTTTTTTTATTTCAAATGGATTTTATTTGATTTGTTTTTGTTTTGATTAGTGCCACTGGTTTCACAACTCGTTCTGATATTGGTCCAGCCCGTGATGCAAATGATGTATCGTAAGTACAAACAAAAAATGATTTTCAATTGTAATTGCTTTTGTTAATCGCATCGACACATTTGATTTATTTTAGTGATGATCGTCATGCACCGCCCGCGGCCAAACGTAAAAAGAAAGAAGAGGAAGAAGAAGACGATGAAGATTTGAATGATTCAAATTATGATGAATTCAGTGGTTATAGTGGTTCATTGTTTTCCAAAGATCCATACGATAAAGATGATGCCGAAGCGGATGCCATTTACGAGGCGATTGACAAACGAATGGATGAAAAGCGAAAAGAGTATCGTGAAAAACGGTTGAAAGAGGATTTGGAACGATATCGTCAGGAACGGCCAAAGATCCAACAACAATTCTCCGATTTAAAGCGTAACTTGGGCGAAGTGACATTGGAAGAATGGTCAACAATACCTGAAGTTGGCGACAGTCGCAATCGTAAACAACGTAATCCACGTGCAGAAAAATTTACACCATTGCCCGACAGTGTGTTGTCACGAAATTTAGGTGGTGAAACTAGTACAAATATTGATACACGATCGGGATTGATGACACCCGGAGTGGCAACGCCCGGAATGCTTACACCAACTGGCGATTTGGATTTAAGAAAAATTGGTCAAGCACGAAATACGTTGATGAATGTAAAATTATCGCAAGTATCTGATTCGGTGACCGGACAGACAGTCGTCGATCCAAAAGGTTATTTAACTGATTTACAATCGATGATACCCACCTATGGTGGTGATATTAATGATATCAAAAAGGCTCGACTGCTTTTGAAAAGTGTTCGTGAAACGAATCCAAATCATCCACCTGCCTGGATTGCTTCAGCTCGTCTGGAAGAAGTAACGGGAAAAGTGCAAATGGCACGAAATTTAATAATGCAAGGCTGTGAAATAAATCCAAAAAGTGAAGATTTATGGTTGGAAGCGGCACGATTGCAACCACTTGATACGGCAAAAGCAGCCATTGCACAAGCTGCACGACATATACCAACATCCGTTCGAATTTGGATCAAAGCAGCCGACTTAGAAACCGAAATGAAGGCCAAACGTCGTGTGTTTCGTAAAGCTCTTGAGCATATACCGAATTCAGTACGTTTATGGAAGGCGGCCGTTGAACTTGAAAATCCAGATGATGCACGTATCCTTTTATCACGTGCGGTCGAATGTTGTAATACAAGCGTCGAATTATGGTTGGCATTGGCACGTTTAGAGACCTATGAAAATGCTCGTAAAGTACTGAACAAAGCACGTGAAAATATACCAACCGACAAACAAATTTGGATGACTGCCGCCAAATTGGAAGAAGCCAATGGTAAGTAGATGGTTTTTTGTTTGTTTTCGATTCGCCTTTAATTGTAATAATATTGAAATTAATTTTCATTCTAAAGGAAACATTCACATGGTGGAAAAGATTGTGGATCGTGCATTATCATCGTTGTCAGCCAATGGAGTTGAAATCAATCGAGAGAATTGGTTCCAAGAAGCCATTGAAGCGGAAAAATCAGGTGCTGTCCATTGTTGTCAGGCTATCATCAAATCAATCATCGAAAGTGGCGTCGAAGAAGAGGATCGCAAGCAAACCTGGATCGACGATGCCGAATTCGTAAGTTTTTTTTCTTCCTCTTTTGTTTGTCATTTTATCTGACTTTATATTCAATTCTATTTCAGTGTGCATCAAAAGGTGCGTATGATTGTGCACGTGCTGTATACGCTCATGCCTTGCAAGTGTTTCCATCGAAGAAAAGTATTTGGTTGCGAGCTGCCTATTTTGAAAAAAATCATGGAACACGTGAAAGTTTGGAAACACTTTTACAACGTGCTGTTGCACATTGCCCAAAGTCGGAAGTGCTGTGGCTGATGGGTGCCAAATCGAAATGGTTGGCTGGCGATGTGCCGGCTGCTCGTGGTATTTTATCGTATGCATTCCAGGCAAATCCAAATTCGGAAGATATTTGGTTGGCTGCCGTTAAATTGGAATCGGAAAATACTGAATATGAACGAGCTCGTCGTTTGCTTGCAAAAGCAAGAGCATCGGCTCCAACACCGCGCGTCATGATGAAATCATCCAAGCTCGAATGGGCATTGGACGATTTGCCAAAAGCATTAAAATTACTGGACGAGGCTGTTGATGTATTTCCGGACTATGCCAAACTGTGGATGATGAAGGGGCAAATTGAAGAACAACAAAATCAACTTGAAGCAGCTGCCAATACATACTCGACTGGCGTGAAAAAGAATCCAAATTCAATTCCATTGTGGCTATTGATGTCGAATTTAGAGGAAAAACGTGGTGCTTTGACAAAAGCTCGGTCCGTATTGGAACGGGCGCGTTTGAAAAATCCAAAAACACCATTGCTCTGGCTGGAAGGCGTACGCATTGAATTACGTGCTGGACTCAGTGAAATGGCACAAACCATAATGGCAAGAGCGCTTCAAGAATGTCCACAGTCCGGTGAACTGTGGTCCGAAGCAATCTTTATGGAATCAAGACCACAACGCAAAACAAAATCGTTTGATGCATTAAAAAAGTGCGAACATAATCCGCATGTTTTACTTGCGGTTTCGAAACTATTTTGGTCCGAGCAAAAAACACAGAAGGCACGAGATTGGTTCAATCGAACGGTTAAAATTGATCCGGATTTGGGTGATGCTTGGGCATATTTCTACAAATTTGAATTAAACTATGGAACAGAAGCGCAACAGAAAGAGATTATTGAACGATGTAACGCAGCTGAACCAAAGCACGGCGAAGAATGGTGTAAAGTAAGCAAAAATATCAGCAATTGGTGTTTCAAAACGGAGGACATTCTTAAAGCAGTCATTAGAAATTTACCCATACCAACATAGGCATGTTTTTTTTATACATTTATTTTGCATTTAGATTTTATTTTGGAACAATGATTCGATGAAATAAATAAATTTAATTCAAATAAAAGAAAACGAATTTTACTCAATTTGAGGTTATGATTGGTTTGAGTGACAGTAAAATGTATGTGTACACACTTGATTAAAGTGACAGCCGACTGTCTGAGTGTGTATTGCTTCGAATGAATCAACGAATTCGGTATCGGCCATATTGCTAAAGTCTAATGTCAACAACAATTCATTCGTGTTGAAATTGTCATAAACAGCACATACAAAAAAGGATTAACTACTTTTGTTTTAAAGTTAAAGCGAGTTTTTACCGAGTCATTTGCATTAAGTCAAATTATTTGATTGGTGGGAAGAGAAAAAGATCGAAATGTCGTCGTTAAAACATATAGCCACGGTTTTTGCTAACGGTAGAATTCCTGTGCATAAATACAAGTCCGAATTGACCGGATTAACAGTTGTAATTGGTGAAGTAGAAGGGCCTCTAGTCAATGGATTTTTCACATTAGGTAAAGTCAATAAACACCATAACATTTCAAAATACTTTTCAATTGATTGACACCATATTGTATTTGCATTTGGAATGAATAGCAACTGAAGCTCACGACGATGACGGTTTGCCGCATACACTCGAGCATTTAATATTTCTTGGTTCCGAGCTGTATCCATATAAGGGAGTACTCGATTTGCTTGCAAATAGATGTTTGGCTAGTGGAACAAATGCATGGACCGACACCGATCATACTTGCTACACCATTAAAACTGTTGGCAAAGCCGGCTTCCTTGAATTATTACCGATTTATCTCGATCATATTCTGTTTCCAACTTTATCCGATGCTGGTTACATCACAGAAGTCCACCATATTGCACCAAATGGTGAAGATAGCGGTGTTGTTTACTGTGAAATGCAAGGTAGAGAAAATTCGGGCGAGTCGCGTGCAATTTTGGCACTTTTAAGAAATCTTTATCCAAATTGTGGATACAGTGCCGAAACTGGAGGCATCATGGAAAATTTACGAACAAGCACGTCAAACGAAAAAGTACGAAATTATCATGCCCAATTCTATCGGCCGGAGAATTTAACACTGATCATCACTGGCCAGGTGAAAGTTGAAGATGTTGCCATTGCATTGGAATCGGTTGAAAATCGAATTTTGAGCAAGGATAAAAAGCCGGAATTCGTACGGCCATGGTTAACACCGATCGAACCACTTGCTGACACAACTGACAAACGTATCGTTTATCCATCCGATTGTGAAGATTGTGGCATCGTTCATGTTGGATGGCGTGGACCAAAATGCACCAAAGAAAATCTTAAACTAACGGCAACTTCAGTTCTTCTTCGATACTTGTCCGAAACGTCAGTTTCACCACTGCAACGTGAAATGGTTGAAATCAACGATCCATATGCTAGCACCGTTTCGTATAACATCATTGAAAACTATGAGTCAGCCATTTATTTTTCGTTTGAAAATGTGCCAGTTGATAAAATCGACAATGTTTATGAGAAAATGCAAACCATTCTTGGCAACATTTCAAAAGGAATTGAAAAAATTGATATGAATCGTATGCAAAACATTCTGGAGCGTTCGATTCTCGAGTATTTCAGCAATTTGGAAAGTAATCCACATGAGGCGCTCGCTTTTGCCTCTATTGCCGATTCACTTTATGGCGAACGCAATGAAGATGTAAGTATTGATATTGTACGTTTGAAAGTCTCAGATCCAAAACAAGTTAAAAATTATTTTCGAAAAAACAACAAAAGAAATTATTGAGCGCCAAAAAGGAACATATAGAATTTAGAACTAAATCAACATAGAATACTTAGAGCAAAAATTTTCTGCCAAAAACGGTATATATCGCTTTGGTTTTTTAACTTCATGATTTTATTTACCTCACTTTAGCACTGAAAGTGCATATGGAACATTTATGTATATACTGTGTGCAGTGTAAAGCAAAGGACAATTTACCGTTATTTGTTAACATACCGAACGTATACAAATATGTATTCGCACAGAATTAAGAAAAAAAAATGTGACACATTGTTTATGCTGTCGTTACTGTTTTGATTCTGAGTTAGCTATAAGTTTTTTTGTCACTTTTTCATAAAAAAATCTTTTGCCTCTTTTGCGAAAACTTTTTTTAAAACTTATTTTGGCTCTACAGAGCCCTCATTTGATCTTTTTTTTAAAACAATTTCGTCTCTTTTAAATAGTTTGAAACAAGACTAAACATTGATCGTCAAATGCGATTGTTGTTGGAGAAAACTGAAGATTTCTGGGTGGAACTGTTGAATGAATATTTAATCAACGTAAGTTTAATAATTTTTAAATTTTTGAACATAAAATTGATAGTAATTTTTCATTAGTCGAAGCGTATCGTCATCCGGGCTGTACCCAGTATTGAAGAACAAAAACGAATGACAAAAGAGGAAGCGGCAAGAGTAGAACAGCAGCGTAAATCGTTGGGCGAAGATGGATTGGCAAAGAAAGGTGAAGAATTGACCCAAGCAATAGCCCATAACGAAATTGCACCCCCACCCGAAATGTTGACCAAAGTGCCCATACCAAATGTGGAAAATATAAATTCGTTGCCATCAACTGTTCAAGAGCGTGACGGTGATGTGTTTGGCGATGCATCAAAATTGGCCGGTTTAAATTTGAGTGAATTTCCATCGCCAATCAATGTTACTTGTTGTGGCATTGATTCAAACTTTGGCTATATCATGGCTTATTTCAATACCAGCAAAATTGCACCCGAATTACGGTCATATTTACTATTGTTCCTTGATTTGATTGTCGAATCGCCAATTCGTCGTGAGGACGGTACTTTAATACCTTACGAAGAAGTCGTGTCGGCGCTTGAATCGGACACAGTATCACTGCAAACGACCATTGGCTTAGAAGCAACTAATCAATTTAGCTGCGGCTCATACTCTCAAACGGTCGTTCTAATGCTCAAAGCCGATCATAAAAAATATATTCGTGGCATTCAATGGGTTATTGATCTGTTGAATCGTACTGAGTTCACTGTAGAACGTATTCGAGTTATTGCGGCGAAAATTTCGAATGCCGTATCACAAGCCAAACGAAATGGAAACTCAGTTTCGAAAGATCTTCTCAAAGCCGTTTACTACCAAGGCAATTCGAACGTTCGAAAATGTTCCATGATATATCAACAACGTTTCTTGACTTCACTTCTGGAGAAGCTGGACAAGCCAGATGAAGCCACAAAAATTATTGACAACTTGAACAAAATTCGCAAAGAGATTTTGACACCTAGCTGTCTTAGTTTGTACATTGCCGCCGATTGGTCCAAAATAATCACGGCAAATTCAAATGAATTCTTTGAAAATTGGAAAAAGCTTGTGCAAACCGATGAAGTCACATTCAGGTAAAATGACATCCTTGAACATCTACCGAAGCTTAATATTAATTACCTATAAATAAAAATTCAATTTCTCGTTCGTATAGCAAAGGAAAGTACGAACGTCCTCAGGTTGATTACCAGATCCGTAAGAAGGTCATTACCGAAGGTCAAACACTTGGTTTGGGATGTGTTGAAGGTGCGTTTTTCAATCATGCTGTACCATGCCCAATTACAATCAACGATCCCGACTACATACCATTGATGCTCTTCATGCAGTATCTTACTCAACTTGAAGGTCCATTCTGGCGTCAACTACGAGGCCAAGGTAAAATCACCCTTTATCATATTTCTAAGTTTTGTTTACTAATTTAAATGTTGGACTGATTGACCACAGGTCTAACTTATGGCTACAATATGTTTATACGTTTGAATGAGCAATTGCTGTACTTTACACTGTATCGAGCAACCAATGTTACCGCTGCATTTAAGCAATTCAAAATAATTACGGTATGTTTGAATTTTGATTATATTTTTGAAAATTTATGCGGATAAATCTAATGTATGTCATAATTAGGAAGCGCAATTATCGCCTGATGCCACATGGGATGCTGCCTTGCTCGAATCGGCTCGAAGTTCTCTTATTTTCGAATTTGTTGAACGTGAAAAATCGATCGATGCGGTAGTTTTACAGAATTTCATTTCGACCTGTTTCCGTGGAACCAAACGTATAACTGATTTGAATCAAGCCAATGTTCGACAAGTGAACAACGTTACCATTGACGATATGGTGTCGGTTGGCAAAAAATACATTAGTCAATTGTTCACACCAAATTCCCGTACAACGATTGTCTGTCATCCCGATAAAGCCAATGAAATTCGCGATGAGTTCACCACTTATGGTTTTAAGATGACCGTTTCTACCAACATTGAAAGCAGCATTCTCAGCAACATTGAAGATGAATAAATTAACACGATATAATTTTCAATTTGAAAATACATTATGTATGATATTCTATGAGAAACACACGAAATAAAAAATTTTAATACATTTTTCACTGGAACAGCTTATTATTGTTATTCAATTTTTTAGTCAATATTTCTTACCTTTGCAGCAGCTTGTAAAATCAATACGTGTGTCTCTCTTATTCACACGGAAATTAATATTTGAGTTTAACAGACGACTACTTTGTTCGTTACTAATAGGTAAATCAAAACAACAGAAATGGATTTCAATTAAATACATTTGATTTGAAATTTATTGCATTGCAATTTATGTTTTCAATTAATTAACAAGCATGGACATCATCTACAATCTGGTATTTTTGTTTTTGTTTACGTTTACAAATGAATTTGTGTCGTTAAATGAAGATGTACACGAAATCGTTCGATAACACCCTAAATATGGATCAGTCTTTTTTTTATTTGTGATAAATATAAAATAGTCTATTTAAAAGCATAGATATAAAATGTTACAACACATATAGTTTATTCAGTTTATTTAATTCGTTTTATTTTTCTCAATAAGATAATAATTCCGCAAAGCTCAATTTTATGTAGCGACATTTTTCTGTTTTTTATTCTGCAATTTTTTCTTTCTTTTCTCAGCGTAGCTCAAATGGAATGGTGACCTTTGTCATCGTATCATTGAATTTTCTTTTTTTGGTCATTTGATGCGATGACATTTGGTTGATTTTTATATCTGCCTTTGAACTCGTTTTCTTAAGATGCCAGCCAATTCACTTTTTATCGCCGTTCTTCGTTGGGCGCCTGGTTTCTGGTTTTTTCGCATTAATTTGCGCGAATGTAATCCGCACGTTTGAACGCATTAAAGAGGGATGCGCAAACGATTTGAACAATAATAGTGTCGATGAAACGACAACAACACCAGGCAACCAAAAAAAACGGATTTTAAGTAAACGAAAGAAAAAAAGGCACACAAAATGAAAAGAAGTTCAAACCATCAATTTATATGCAAATGAAATACAAAAATTATGAGTTACGGAGTAGGTGAATAAGAATATTCAGAAGATAAGAAAGAGAGGCACAGAGACCGCACAGAATTAAAGAAAACTCAAATGACGAAGTGCGAAATGTAGAATGAAAAGAAATGAACGATGGTCGAGATAAAAACAGCATCAAATTAACAATCACATTAGTTAATTGCCACTGTTTTCAAGCCATATGGACATGGTGAACCAGTCGAAACCGTTACAACGATGTTTTCTCTCTCTTTCTCTCTCTCTTTTTTGATCGTTATGGATTCTCAGAAGAACAAAAATTGAGAGAAACCGACAAAAAAATGCGTACGATGTTTCACACCTTTGATGCGACGATCAACAAAAAAAAACATATATACAAAAATAATAATGACTAATAAAGAAAATATATTAGCCGCGACGAAGTATTTCAGATCATTATCGTTTTTTTTTTTGTTAGCTTCTTGTATTATGTTTTTTTTTTGTATACGCAGAATTAAAATTAATAATCGAACTTTTGTGTATAGAACTTGTTTTATCATTTGGGTTTTTTTTTTTGCATAATGTATAAAATGTAAGCGATATGTATGACATGAGTTAGAAATTCCTTGTCTTCCATCTCCATTTGAGCCCTTTATATGTATATAAAAACTAACCTCATGTGCATTTACACAGTACAAGTGCGTGTATGTGTGAAGAAATAGGAATCTTCATATACTGTTTTTCTTTCATTTCATTCTATATCTCATGGAAATATATTCCTGTCGATTATTTTGCTTGTTCAATGTTATTAATCCGATGAAATTAAAATAAAAAAAATAAATGCTTTCATCAACATGAAATTTTAAATTATCGTATTCGCGACTGAGCCGTGAATATTTATTTAAGCAATAAAATTCTCTGATTGATACAAAAACTGTTGTTATTGTCTGCCATTTTTTTTCTCTTTTTTTTTAAATCGTTTTACATGTGTGAGTATGTGTTTCGTTTTATTTTTCTTCAACAATAACATTGATATCAATCGCAAAATACCCTGTGTTCTTTGTTCCGCAAAATTGTATCTATTTTTATTTTATTTATCCTGTTATTTCTTTTTTGTTTTTCAAAAAAAAAAATTAAAAAAATGTGAAAGATCGATTTCGTTTCGTCACGTTTCGTCTCAAACGAAATCCCATATATATTAAATGTATACTTTAAAAAAAATCTTTGTTTCATTTTCTTGGTTTTACGTGTTAATCAAAGAGCGCTTTAATAATTTCATAATTTTCTAAATGCAATTCAATAATAATCCGACAATAAATACTAACTTTGATTCGAATACGAAATATATGCTAATAAAATATCAAGCCTAATCATATAAAACAACTTAGTTCTCTTTTTTTTCTATATATAAAACAATGCAATCGAAGCAATCAAATATATATTTTTGATGAGGGAAGTCCAATTTTCAATGGAGTATACAAAATAAAATAAAAATAAAATTAGTGATGATAGTAGTGGTGATGAATGTGTACATATCGATGGATTGTTGTTAGTGATGCGTTGTCAGTCATTCCAATTTGGCTGCTATCATCCGAACTGGCGCGCAATAAATTCTCACACTCACTTTGGCTAGGATCAACGATCGGAATGGAAGCGTATTCGACGATATTTTCTTTTTGTTCGGGCACCGTTGTATTAACACCAGTTGTTACATTTGTCGTACCCTTTCCGTGTGAATCGGAATTTGATGAATTCCGTTGTGATGATGACAATGATGATTTTGGTGTTTTTCGTGTAAGCAAAATCTCTTTGTTGAATGTTTTTTTCGACGGTGAGCCCACATCGTTGAGTTTCTTTGCCAATTTTTCATTTTCTTTGAACTTATCGGTTGCTCCAATTGCATTCACATTATTCAAACATTCAGCATCTTTATACAAATTATTTTCTTTACAATTTACATTTTTTGATATATCAAGTAGATTGTTTGATGTTAAAATATTGGATGTTGCTGCGGCGGTCATTGTCTGATCATCGGCCAACCATTTTTCCACATGGCTAATGGTACGCGTTAATTTTTGTTCTTGTGTCAATTGTGGATTCAATTGACTGAGTAGGGCAGTGTTTAATTTACTATTTTGCATTGACATCAATTTCGTATAGCCTTGCACTTGTGGCGATGCCGATATGGGAAATTCGTTGGTGTGATGACGATGACGCGATCGTGAATTTCGAACATTATTTATGTTATTATTATTACTATTATTACAATTTGGCGTTGAGTTATTATGATTAGAATTATAGTTGAGTAAGAGTTTTGAGGTGTGTGCCGCTAGCACTGGATTCGAAATAATGTTATTTGTGGAACAGATTTTTGCATGCAACATCGAATCGTATCCACACCAATTTGCTTTCGATGCATTGTGTGTATGAATGGCGGTTGTCTCATTGGAATGCGGATCAATAGGTGTCATTTTCGATGAAATCGTATAAGAACGATGCCGGTGATGTTTCGATGGACTTACATTTGTTTTCCTAAATAAATAACAAAACAATTTTTTTTTAAATTGCTATTTAACGTTTGGAAAAAGAAAAAAAAAAATATGTGAGACTTACCCATTCGATTGAAAACATAGCCGACTTTTTTCCATACTCTCACGAATGATATCAATAAGATCATTGCGTCGTAAATTGTTCAGACATTCGTCATTTCGATCTTTACCGCTTGCACCGCTGCTCGCATCGCCATTGCTGTTTCGAAAGCTATTTTCGTTGCCAACCGAAAGTGACCGAATCCTTGTGGCTGGATGTGAATCTTGTGAATTTTTCTGCTTACGCGATCTTGATTTTCGGCCAATTCGTCGTGCACACGGTTTCGATATGGGTACCGTTTCAATTTGATACAATTGATTTGTTACCCGACAATCTTGACAACATGAATTATTATTATTCAATGTGACTTTATCGCATTTTGATTTTGACGTTGGAGCTGAATTTTCATTTGAAATCGGTGCACTTTCGTAAATATTTTCGGTTGTTTGGCTGGACTTTTGTTGTCGATGATGATTTTTTGCACTTTCATTTGCACAACAATTTCCAATTCGACCGTCAACTGTATCTTTTTGCGGTCGATTATCCTTTTGCTCTGGTTGATTTTTCTCGGTAACAATTCCATCGGATTTTTCAGTTCCAATTATCGGTGTTGATTGTATGCCAACACTTTGAGTATGTTGCAATAGTTCGTCGGCTAATTGTGTAGTTTTATTTGTTTCTTGATTGGTATCAAAGCAACCACTGCCACTACCCTCCTCATCATCATCACATTTAAATAAGCGACGCGATTTAATTCGTTGTCTTTTCGTACTTTTCTTAACCGAATGTTGGGAGTCGGCCGATTTTGATTTTGAGTCTGGTGACACCGTCAAACGAACGTTTATCGTCTTACTACCACAATGTGGAACCACCACTGACTTTCCAATCGATTCATATATAGTATATACAATGCCAGCAATATCCTGTGAACAATCATTATTCATTATTATTTTGAAAAAAAAGAGAAGAAAAACAGACTTCAACATTTGGAAGAGAAATCACCACTTACGTCTTTGGTAATTTTTCCATGATGCCCATCTAAATCATAAAATGTGAAAGAGAACTGTAATGGCTGTGTCGATTTTCCGCCACCTTCTACCGAAACATCACATGTAAATTCCTGTCAAATTCAAAATTAAACAAAATAGTTTTAATAAGTTGAGAGATGAAATGGTTTGTATTGTTGTTGTTGTTTTTTTGTTCTCGAATATTACCTCTAACAACACTCTATCAGACGAAATGGCATCGTTACGTGGTGTGGATGTTTGTACTTTGGCATCTTTATTACGATCGCCTGTTAGTAGTAGATCGGGTGGTGCACTGCAAGAAGACGGCGCTCGTATCGGATAAATCAGCTCTTCTGAATCTGTTGCACATTCTTGAAGCACTGTAGTAAAGAAGAAGAAAAATAAATAGTTAGCCTTGAAAGCTTAAGCTTAAGCTGTGTATCATAAATAAATAGTATTTTCTGCGAAATACACCAACAAATTTTGTGACATTCATGATAAATTTGAAGAATTCAAGTTAATAATAAAATGTTGAACATGATTCTCAAGCGGCAACTATTAAAAGATATTCAGATGGTTTAAATAATCAACAATGTATGTATGTGTGTATTTTTATTTCACTTTAAAACGCATTAATTTAAATTCAGTGTGTGGAGCGTTGAATCTCCAACTGAAGAGAGAGAACGAGAGAGAGAGAGAGAAAAAAAACTGGCCCGTGCGGGATAAAAGTTAAAAGAATCGCTTTCAAATTACCGATATCGATCATAAACACGAAGGTATAGTGGAGTAATCTCTCTGTAGATTTGTCTCGTTAATTTCCATTTTTTGTTCTCTCTCTCTCTCGATGGTGTGTGAGCGCGGCTTTTTTATGTTTCGATTCATTTATATACTACATACTATATCATATATATATATTATAAAACGTTTCAGAAAAGATCTAAGATGCATGCATTAAATCAAAGTTAAATCGACACACCGAGAGCGGTATAAATGGTCAAACAAGGAGTGTATTTCTCACAAAACAAAAAAAAAAGAAAATGAATTTGAAAAAGAGAAGAAAAAAAACCGTAAAGAATCAAAGAGCATATGACAGAAACTGAAGAGGAAAAAATACATCCACACATAAAACAATTATGCCGAAAAAAATATCAAACTAAAACATAAAAAGAGAGAAGTTCAAAAGGAAAAAAAAAACACAGAGTTCTCTATAGGTTCTGAAGGTAAGAAGTTTCATGAATAACAACGCACAATCGTTCGTAAACGAAACGAATCGATGTGTATGCGTGCGCGTACGATGCCTGTGAACGTGATGTGATCGGACATAAGTATGGAGAAATATCCATCTCACATGAGAGATGCTCAAAAGAACGAATGTTTTTTTTTCATTCTATCGAAAGAAAAGAAAAAAAAATATAAAAGAATCAAGTGAATGAAACGAAGAACGAAAAGAAATAAGGAAAGAAAGTGCATGGCATTGAGATGAAATCTAGCCGAATTCACTCAATGTTTTTATTCTTTTACTTTCTTTTTTTTCGGGATTAAATGCAACTGTGAAGTCGAACAGAATAATATAGAATAGAACGAACCGAATCGAAGCGATCCGAAATAGTCAAGAGCAAAAAATCAACGTACCATAATATCTGACATACAACAACTCTAATTTCGGTTCATAAACTTCTCATCACAGGGCATTTTGTAAAACTTCACATGAATTATGCCTCATATCTCTTATATGAGCATGTGTTTGTAATTATGTGTTGCTCGCCTTGCTTTTTATACGCTATGACCCGAAAGACGAACAAAGTATGCTATTATATATATATTTTTTGTTGTTACAAGTATAAACGAAAAAAAGAAGCATTTCTGCCGAAGACGAATGTAACAATTTAAGGAAAAATTCAAATTGAAAAGAGAGAGAGAGAGAAAGAATGGCATATTGTTAAGGGGCAAGCTAATTATGAAAATTGACACGAATCAAAAGGTTCATCTGATTGCTTTGTCAAAAATAAAAATAACAATAATCAAATTAAAGCATTTATTTACTCTCAGCGATATGAATAATTTATGCATATTCTTGAGAATGGTTTGCCCCTTGATTTCTACACTTATACCCACTTAACCAGCTCGAATAGCAAAGAAAAAACAACGAGCGGCATACTGAATTTATTTTCAACTTTTTAACTCTGTTTATATGTGAAACTTTCTTTGGCTCTTTTTGTAACTGACAAGCTCGGTTTGTTTGTCGAGCATTGTTTTTTTTTCTCTCGAACGTTTCGTTCTTTTCGTCAAACAATTTTTTTTTGCTTTGGTGCAGCACAACTTTTGCCAACTTTTTGCAGTTGTGTGTGTGTGTGTGTGAATCTTCGTTTTGGAAAATTCATGTGATATTGCATTACCGTTCAGGTTCGATTTATTTGGCACTTGAATGCTCTGGTCCTGTTCATATTGGGTTTCGAATAGCACTGATGCGGCTTTGGACTTTTTTTTTCTCAATCAATTTATTTCGCCGACTCGCCCAACGAGTCACGATGCTCCGATGAAGAAGAAAAAAAAATCAATCCCATATTCTCAATTTCAAATGATTTCGAAATATTCGAAACTAGAATTGTATGATTCAAGCGGGTTTTCATCTCACCAATGATTTGGCATCGCAATATGCTCCATTGAGTTCGATCTTTTTCTTTCCTAACTACATGTAAATAAATGAAGTTGGATGTTCGCCATGCAATGGGCTTTAATAATGAAGATGTAAATGCAAACATGTTTTCCAAACAACATTCAAACATTCAAATGTAATGGTTGTATTTGATGTTCGTCTGTTCTTTTTATATTATCATCATTGAATGCCATTCACGTTGTCTGGTTTTGACAATGATTTTGATTGAAATTCAATTGAATTCAACAAAAGTGCTGCGGATTATGTAACAACACTGGCAATGTTACTGCATAGTGCGAACATACGAAGCATTCAATGTTCTCTATCATTCAACATACAACAATAAAAGCCATGAAATGCGTATGAAATGGGGTTTTAAGTGACATCGGAATTATGTGTCGAACGCAGAAATTGAATCGGTCGAACACACATATATTTTGGCATTTCTATAACAAAATTCTACGCATTCATTCACACAATAACCAAAATGTCCGAAGTATTTTGATAACAACTGAACACACAAACCCCCAAATTATGGCAAGAAAATCACTGAAATAAACACAAGCATATGGCTAAACAGGAAACAATAAATAATATCGTATAATTGGTATATGGTATTGAGAAAATATATATATTTTCCACGAGGCTCAGAAATAGAGAGAGAGAGAGAGATAAATCCAGGAAAATAAGACCAAACTTTAGATATTCCGTTTAAAGAATCGCAAGCGCATCATAAAAAACAGTTCTACAGGCGTGGCATTGCCAAACTCATAACACGTAATCCAAATCATCATCCATTTTGTTAATTTGAAAATTGTCGACTAAACGGCGTAAATGAGTTTTACAGAGTTTTTCTATGAAAACGAGCGAGTAAATGAGAGAAAGAAGAAAAAAACCCAGTAAAATGTTTTCCAATCATCGGGAAAACAAATATTTGGTGGTGGTATGAGATATCGATCCTATTTGCTCTCATAAGACGCATTTAATTTTAGCACCACTTTTCATTTCCATTGAGATAGGTGGTTTCGGGTTTCATTTGTACATGAACTGTGCATGCCGTTTTATAGAAGATTATACACGGAGATGATTGGTCGACCAAAATTGTTGATTGTTCAATACAACAAAACGAAAATGTTTGCTAAAAACATTAATGTCGATTCGAAACTCTGTCCAGAATACATGCCATTTCATTTGAAAGAAATTTGGTTTGTGTTAAATTCGTTTGCCAAATGTACACGACTTGGAATTACAGTGCATACGTTGTTTATTCGTGTACATTGAATTTGTGGATATTCAATCGGATGAAGATTTTACACGTAACGAGATAGCAAAACCAATGATGATCGCTGTAATCTTCAGCGCTGTTGAACAGAAAATACGATAAAGTTTTTTTTACAAATAACAACAACAACACCACCACCATTTCGGTGTGAATATGGCACGTTTTAGCGTTGAAGGGAGAACGAATGAAATGAATTAATTTCGTTCGTAAAATGTAATCCGAGAGATGACTGTAGTATACCGATGAAATTTATGATTAAAGCACATAGCACACCAACCACAAAGATAAATTCGAAGAAACTTTACTATGTATATTTTTTTGTTTCGTTTTGGAATTGCCAAGTTCAACGCTGTGATTAAACAGATGAAACTATTTCGTTGCTGCAACAATAAAAAAAATATATATCACACTCAACGGAATATAAATTTATGAAGTATGAAGTTGGAGTGACGTGTTACACTGTGTGCACCGGGTGGCCCGACATCAATTCAACTTAATTTTGAATTGTCATCTTGTTACGTGCACTCTATCAATGGCATTTCGTATTCAGCATTATTTTATTTGCACTCATAAATGTCATTCACATTACAAATGAAGTATAATTACTGTTGTGCTTCTGAAATCGAAATATCGCCTTTAATTTCAAGGATTTTATTAGAATTATGTAAATATTTTCAACATAAAAGAAACTAAATAGGGAGAACAGCAACTTTTCTGGAATATATCGAGACATATGTGGCGGTTTTTTATCCTTGTTTCTCATTCCAATTAAATTTGACTAATGGTCTGGGTTTTATTTCATAAATAAACAAAATGACCAAACAAAACACAATGCCACTTTTATATGGCAGCATTGCATGCGATTAGTGATACTATCGGTAAAATGTCATTTTTTTTACTATGGTTAGATGCATACATTTAAAAGCCATGAATCTCTACAAAAGATTTCATTTGGACATACGAGTGTGTCGCTGCTATTACACATTCATTCATTTTTACGATAATCGGGAGAATATGGCGTAAGCCGCCCCCAATTTTCTGTGATTGTGTTCTCATTTTCTGTGTGGCTCAATATAAAATTATGAGCACATCAATGCGTTGAAAAGTTTCCGTTGAGTTCGTGTTTTCCAATGCCAGTGCCATTTTGGAAAGTAAGCAGTGAATCAATATTTTTTTCTTTCTTCTTTCGTTCTTTGTTATTCTTATTCTTCTTCTCTATTTTAAAGTCAAATTGAGTGCACACACAAAACAAATAAGTTTGACATTTTCACGTTGGAAGCATACAAACGAATTAAATAGATTCGTGTTTTTCGTTCGTCTTTTTCCATGACACGAACATTGGATGCTCTGTATACAGAGCATCGAAGTAGCATTGCGACTATAGAATACATCATAAGCTTAGTCATTTCGTGCCATGGTGTAGTGCATTTTAAATACATTCA